CCCCAGCAGCTCGAGTACCAGCGGTACGAGCACCTCCGGGACCAGCGACGTGGGCACCCCCAGGAGACAACAAACCAGCACCACCCGCAGCTCCAGTGACGTCAGTGGAAGAACCGCCAGGAGCAGGGTCCCGAGCCACAGGAGCGCGACGCTGACGGCGACCGTACCAGTCGCGCAGCTGCTGGGAGGTAAGAGGCACACGCGTACGAAGGCGGCTACTCCAAGGAGACCGCGCAACAGCAGACTCAGAACCCGCAGCGCCAGTGTCCGTAGCAGCTCCAGGACCTCCAGCTCCAGTGGTAGCACCAGCAGCGCCAGAACCTCCAGGCTCAGCACCCCCAGGCTCAGCAAACCCAGGCTCAGCGCCCCCAGGCCCAGCACCCTCAGTGTTAGCACCCCCAGGCTCCGCACCCCCAGGCTCAGCACTCCCAGTCTCAGCACCCCCAGGCTCCGCACCCGCAGGCTCAGCACCCCCAGTGTCAGCACCCCCAGGCTCAGCACCCCCAGGCTCCGCACCCGCAGGCTCAGCACCCCCAGTGGCAGCACCCCCAGGCTCAGCACCCCCAGCAGTACCACCCGCAGCAGCACCTGAGTCACCTGTGACCTCGACAGGCTCAGCGACGGGAGGAGGGTCTACCTGAGAGACACCTAAAGGAGCAGGACCCTGAGGGGGAAGGGGGTCTAGCGGAGGGGGACCTGGAGCGAGGAAAAGCGGCGGGGGAGGGAGGGGGGCAGTGCGGTAGGGGAAGAGACGGTAAAAGGGTACCGACTCGTCAAAGGTGACGTCCTGAGAGGCAAAGACACGGCGTGAGGTGGGGTGGTAAAACTGCCAGCCAGGCGCGTCAGGGACAAAGCCAAGGAAGACGCAGGGAACGGCACGGGAGGAGAGCTTGTCCGCGGACGTATCGCGAACAAGGGCTCGGCATCCCCAGACACGGAACACCGACGCATCGCCAACCTCCCCCGTCCAACGCAGTGTGGGCGAGGTCTCCGGAGCAGAGACACGGGGCCAAAGGTTGAGCTGATGCGCAGCGTACCACACTGCAAACGGCCACAGGAAATGGGGGGCAGCCGCATGGATCATGGAGGTACGAGCGACCTCCATGACTAAACCAATGCGACGCTCAGCAACCCCATTCTGCTGTGGGGAGTCCGGAAGAGTGAAAGTCTGGCGGATGCCGTGCTCCGCACAGTAGGCAGCCAGGAGGGCGGAGGAAAACTCACCACCCCTGTCAGAGTGCAGACGCAGGACGGGAAAGTCCGACTGGAACCGCTGGCGGAGCTGGAGACGAGCAGCGCGGATCCAAGGGATCAAAACATCAGGGACCTCACCCTTGGTGCGCAAGGGGAAGACCGTGGTGTAGCGCGAGTAGTCGTCGACGACCAGCAGGAAGTACCGCTCGTGGCCCTGTCCCCGGACGCGGGCTGGGCCCCACACGTCCAGGTGAAGAGTCTGCAAAGGAGCCTCTGTGGGAGGGAACGAGGAGGAGTGAGGGGTGGCGCGCTGCCGCCCCTCGACACAGGGAAGACAGGGAGGAGCAGGCGAGGGTGGGAGGGGAGGGAGAACTCTGGGAAGACCAGAGACAAGGTAACGGGAGTGCATGCCACGAAGGCGCTGCACGGAGGGGTGACCAAGGCGGTGGTGCCAGAGGACGGTCTGGTGCGACAGGGAGCGACACGAGCAGGGAGCCGACAGCTGACCTGACGCAGACGCAGACGCAGCTACCTGAGGGGACTCAGTGGTCAGTGTGTACAGGTCGGACCCCGGCTGCCGAGTGAAGGTAGCCAGGTGGCGACCCGTCCGAGCACACGTACAGTGGGTCACTCGCTCATAGGCAGGGGTGAACTGGTGAACACCCCCGTCCTAGAGAGCAGACCCCGCCACCAAGTTCGTAGAGAACGAGGGGAGGTAAAGACCCGACAAAGTGCCAGACGGGGCCGCAGGACAAGGGAGGACAGTGGAGGAGGTCGCAAGGACCGGGCCCCCAGAGGGGTCAGCAAGGGAGACAGCAACAGGCCGAGCGAGTGGCTCAAGGACTGTGCGGTCACGAAAGAAACAGCGGGAAGCACCTGAGTCCAGGGTGAAGGTGTGCAGTGCTGTAGCAGACTCAGTACCAGCAGACGCAGACGCACTAGCACCTAGCGCAGCAGCCATACCAGTACCAATACCTGGGTCAGGCGGCACACTCAGGTAACAGTCACCCTCAGCACTAATAGTCAATGCATACATGGCAGCAAGGATAGCATCATAATCAAGAGCAAAGATATCAATCCCCTTCCTAAGCAGATCAGCCCAGCGAGGCAGCTCAGAGGCGTCAGGGAACTGCTCGCGCCAGGCGTCATCGAGGCGAGAGAAGCAGCGCTGTGTCGGGTGGAACCTCCCACAAGTCTGGCCAGCGCGATCACCTGTGCGGATGACGTACGAGCAAATGCCCCCACCCCCAGACCCCCCACGCTGAGAGTACCACTCACGAAGCTGCTGGGGCGAGGGAGTCTCGCCAGGACGCTGCTGCGGCTGCCTCTGGCCACCTCCGAACCCCCCACGCTGCACCGCTCCACCGCGCCCGCCACCCGCTCCACCACCGCCACTACTGCCACCACCTCCTCCACCACCCCCACCCCCACCACCGCCGCCGCCGCCACCACCCCCTGCGCCGCCACTGACCCCCCCACCACCCGCGCCACTCCCACTTCCGCCACCACCCCCGCCCCCCCCACCCCCTCCACCGCCGCCGCCCCCACCTCCACCTCCACCACCCCTGCCCCCCTTGCCCTTGCCGCTCTTGCGCCTCCCATCGGGAGCAGACGCAGTCCCGAATCCCTCAGCACCGAGGTAGTCGACAGCAGCAGCAGATGCAATGGAGGGGAGGAGGGGGGAGGGGGAGCACCCTTCAAAGAAGGGGGTGCGGGGGTCACCACGAGAGGCACCTACAGCTACAATACTCTTCTCAGCTGCTAGGAGTTCCTTCTCGAGGAGGTCGACAGTGAGGTCAGTGGGGGAGAGAGCGAGAAACTGGTCCCTGACAGTGCGAAGGGAGTCAGGGAGGCGGGTGACAAGGTGGTACAGTGTGAGGTACATCGGGGGGGGGTTCTTGGCGAGGAAATCGGGGGGGAGCGCGGCACGGTAGCGGAGGTCACTGGTACGGAGGTGGGTGATGAGGTCAGCGACAGTGGCAAAGGCGGACAGGTCGGGAAAGAGGTAGGGCAGTGAGAGACGGCCTATAGTAGCAGTGGCAGGGGAGGAGTAGCGCGCGACTACGGCGTCGTACAGTTCCTTGGCGGTCTTATGCTGGCCAAAATGCTCGCGCTCATCTAACGGCAGGTGGCTGCGAACGGCTAGGCGAGCGTGAGCGTCACGGGTCTGCCACTGCGAGCGCAAGGTGCTATCAGCATCGGCAGCAGGAGCGGGAGCGGCACCGGACGTGTGGTCATAAAGAGAAATATCGTCCTTGGCGGTGATCTGAAGGTAGAGGTGAAGGTCATCGAGCCAAACATCGAACTTAATAGGACGACCCTCAGCGTCAAAGGTAAGCACAGTAGGACTGGCCATAGTAGCAGTAGCAGGAGGAGGAACAGTAGCAGCAGGACCAGTAGCAGTAGGAGCAGTAGCAGGAACAGTAGATGCTGCAGGTGGGGCACAGCAGGGCGGCGCGGCTCGGTCCAGGCGGCGCGGCTCAGTCAGGGCGGCGCGGCTCAGTGAGGGCGGCGCGGCTCGGTCTGGGTTGCGCGGCGCGCTTGGACAGGCAGGGCGACGCGACGGCGGGCCTGGACGGCTGCGGCGGCTGTGCGCGGGCTGCAGTTGCGCGCGGGCGGCGGTCTACAGCAGCGACGCGGCGGCCTACGGGCGGCTAGCGGGCTGCTCGTGGGCGGCTGCGGCGGTGCGGGCGGCTGCTGGGTCGCGCGCGTCAGAAACAGGCCGGCTGCGCGGGCAAAAAACGGGCCGCGCGCGGGCGGCTAGCGTGCGACGCGGCCAAACAGCGGGGCGCTCGAGGGCGCCCTAGGAGCGAGGCGCACGAGGGCGCAAGAACGAGAAGGTGCACGAGGGCACTACTGACGGAACGGTGGGCCCGTAGATTGATCGGTCCTAGGTTCCTAACCTAGGCTCGTAATACCATGTTAGAATGAGAGAAGTGTGTGCACTATGAGAAGATGGGAGTACAAATACAAAACCCTAGAATTGTGTACCCCCTAAAGGCTAACCCACTGTAGCCTACACAGCAACAACACAAGTATAATGTTTGACACTAACTATGTACACTCTAGCCATAGGTGTGTTGTTAACCAGCTTCTCAATTCAGCTTCTAGTACATGATCCCCTTCAGCAGCTGCCCACAGGGTGGCCACACAGATTCTGATTTCCGGGAAGAAACGACCACACAGGAAATTCTGAAAGCTGCCCTGGAACAGAGCCCTCCAAATCATTACCTGCCAGTCGAAGAATCATTGGCAGAATCTCCCAAAGCTTCCGGAATGCTGCCCGTGAGCCGGTTCCAGGCGAGATTGAGAGAGGTCAGAGCACGCAGCCCGGTCAGTTCTTTAGGTATGCTGCCCGTGAAACGATTCCTAGGAAGGTTCAAGTAGCTGAGATAGGAGAGCTCAGCAAAGGCTGTGCCTGGAAGTGCCCCGTCAATGCGGTTATTAGCAAGGTCGAGTTTGACCAGGGAGGTACCACAGGAGGAAATAGAGGCTGGGATAGAGCCGGAGAGGTGGTTTCCATTGAGGTAGATCAACCGTGGGCATTCCACAAATTCTGGAAGGCTACCTGGTAATATGTGAAAGAGGAAGGGGTGATACAGGGAAACATTAGATGTAGTAAAATTGGTAGAGCTCGCTTTCGAAATTCTCTCACCTCGGTCCCTTGTGAAGTTACTTACATGAGCAAAGAACAACACGCCTTAACAGGTAATAGGAGGCACTCACTGTTGATCTCGTTGTAGCTAATGTCAACGAAGCGTAGAGCGGGGTTTCCAAAGGTGGCATCGGGCAGCTGGTCTACAATGTCATTGTCGTGCACATTGAGGTGCGAAAGATGAGCAAGCGATACCAGCCCCGACGGAATCGACCCGCGCAATGTGTTGTGCGACGCATCCAGAGAAGCGAGATTGGTCAGGCGGATCTAGGGTTCCTTGGATGTAGTTCGAACCGATGTTGACTCGCTTGAGAACCGTCGATCCAGTCAGAAACCGGACAGGCATGCTCCCAGTCAGTCGGTTGTGCGAAAGGTCGAGATTCGCAACCCTCGCCAGATGCGAGAATCGAGCCAGACTTCCACCTATGTGGTTGTAACTCAGATCCAGAACATCTCGCGGCGACTCGTATCCGTTGAGCTGGAAGCTCGGACGCACTCTAGTCAGATTGTTGTGTGCGACGGAAAGTGAGCGAAGGTTGCGAAGGCGACTGAAATACCCAGGAAGTTTTCCGGTCAGCTGGTTCCGTTCGAGATTCAGGAACTGGAGGCCCGTCAATCTGCCCAACCGTGACGGAATTGGGCCGTAAAACTTGTTTTCGCTCAAATCGAGATGGGTGAGCTTCACAACACCATCAAGCCCAGGAGGTAGGGTTCCATTGAAACGATTCTTCGCGAGGTCAAGATGCTCGAGTGAGTTCATCTGGTAACCAGATCTCCACTTCGGGATCGTCCCGTTGAAAGAGTTGCGACGAAGATCCAACCTTCGCAGAGCAGACATGCGAAAAATCGCAGGGTGGACAACACCAGACAAGTAGTTATAACTCAGCCCTAGGTGCTCCAGGTACGAAAGCTGGTTCAATTGAGGGGGAAGCATTCCCGTCAGCCTATTTCCCTCCAAGTGCAGTCTTTCCAACAGCCTCGCTCCAGATATTTCTGTCGGAACACTTCCGACGAGCTTGTTCCACCTCAGACTAAGATAGGTGAGCCGGTTGAGGTTACTCAGTTGCTTCGGTATGTAGCCGTTGAGATTGTTGAAGCTTAAATCCAGCCGCTGCAGACGGAACGAACGAGAAATCGACGATGGAATCGGATTGTAGAGCCGGTTGTATGATAGGTCCGGGTGCCTAAGCGCCGTTGAAAACGCTACCGAACTGGTCGGAAGAGCACCGTACAAATCTGCTCCGCGAAAATCCATCACCGAAAGCGACTTCAGCGCAAAAATCGATGCAGGAATGCTCCCCCAAAGTTGTCGATTTCCGCTCATGTTCACCCGCCGCAGATTCGTCAGCAGCCCGAGAACCGTCGGCAGGGACCCTCCCAGGTCGCTGCACGAAAAGTCGACATGAATGAGATGCACGAGACTCTTGATGTCGGTCGAAATGGAGCCGGTGAGGAGATTCGGGTAGGCGGAGCACGGGGAGAAGTTGAGCGACGTGACGAATTCGTTGGCGTCGCAGCCGATGCCGGCGACGCCGCACGCGCTCGCTGGAGCGCCCGGAACGGGATTGGTGACGCCCGCCGCTAGGAGGAACCTCCGCACGGCGTCCACCTCGGTTGCTTGGGGGAGAATCTTGGTGGCGCCGGCTTGCGAACGTGTGGTGTCGGCTTGCGCAAGGGCGGCGCCGGCTTGCGGAAGGGTGGTGTTGGCTTGCGGAAGGGTGGTGGCGACTTGCGGAACAACCTCGCCGGGTGCTTGGGGAAAGAGGTGGCGTGCAGAGAGGGTTGAGGGAGGGAAGAGGAAAGTCAGGAAAAGGAGGAGGAGGAGACGCGGTGGGGTTGTGGAACTCAACCAGAATGGTTCAGAAGCAGCCATGGGAAGCGATTTCGGATAATTTTCTCTCGTGCGTAGCGTTGAAAAAGGGAAGGGTGCGCCCTCGTTTGTGTGAACAGCTGCATCGAGAACTATTGGCACATAAGATGTGAAACCTCAACTCTAAGCGGTTGATCGTTTCTTGCGCGTGTTGGAGGAATATTAAAGATGGGAGATACGGAGCAAAAGTCACAATCTTGCTGTTTAGCCGCGACGAGCCAAGAATCGGCTCAGCCGCGGCCCATTTTCCTGGACACGTCTTGGCGGCTCGAGCCGCACCACAGAGTGCATACTGCAGGAAGATGTTCATGATACGGAAATTGCAGGCGCCACGTTTGCGCGATGTGGGATTTGCACTGCGGATTGGGTGTGGTGGCAACAAAGAATTCTAGCTTGACTCGTCGTGAACGTAAGTGATTCATGTTTTGGTCAAGGCACTTACGGCAAGCAACTGAGATACTGAGCATCTCACACCTCAAGTAAATCTCTCAAGTCATCAATGGCGTCGCGTCTTACGGTTGAGCAAATAAAGTCTCCAATTCTCCCATACCTCCCAGACGTTCGGGCAGAGCGTAGACGATTCATCCCACGTCAGGTGGGTGACTTGCTTGCCAGGCACATCAATCACATCCTCCTGCACTGCTGGGCTGGGCTGAGTTAGGCTGTGCTAACGTGTGTGCACATGAAAGAGTCATGCTGGGTCGGTTGCGTTCTGCCTAGGTAAAGCATTGCACGATGGGGGAATAGTCCGCCGCTGATCGGGGCATTTGGCGGCTGCGCGATGAGGTCTTCCACTCCATCTGGTATCTGCAGATAATATTGTGTCCGTCAATAAGCTAATGCAGATACGCGTTTTCTGCATTCATTATGGTTTTGTTAACCTGACTATCTTCCAGTTCACAAAACAGATCCAAAACACATAGGCCACGAACCTTTGTTTTTAATATTGGTAGTCGGTTGAAAAAAAAAATCTGGAAAAAAAGGCTGATGGGATTGAGCAATAGATAGTTTACCTTATTGATATCATAAATTACCTTATTCGAAGTACAATATAGAATCATTCAGACACATAAATTATTACTCGTGACGGCTGCTTTCTTCCTGCTGAACTCTGGTAAACAATTGTGAGTCACGTATTCGATATTCATTATTCCTCTTTTTGGTTTATAGTTGGCATTCTGCGACTAGTAACGAGTTATTCTGAACGTAGGTTCGGTGGGGCATAGGTGTCGGAAACGCCATGGTAGAGAGCCTACCGTTGTTTGATTGTCACGAAACGGTTGTTATTGGTTCCCGCCATTCCCATCAAGTATTCGCGACTCCCAAAATACCCACGAACCAGCGAGCTGCCCGTGTCACATCCATCGTGAGTCGCCCCGAAACGCGACTTGGAAACAGTAGACCTAAGCTTTGGTTAGGCATCCTATAGAGCACATCACGAACCTGTCTCTAGCTTCGGAATGTTTTCGGCTGGGCGTGGTTGGCCTTTGCCTCTCTCGAACCTTCTCGCCCTACGCGGTCCGGTAAAACTCATGCTTCTCTCAAGGCGGCAGCGTCTTGCCTCCCTACTGTTCTCGTGTAGCCCCCCACGTCCACGGCATGTCACCACCACCACCCTAGCTCGGTTTGGTAAGCAATTCGAAATTCGGTGACAGGTCCGGTTGTCGAGCTACACTACAGTGCAATCTCCGCTTGTGCCCCCGCGACCAGCAGCACTATGTTCCCGTCAAACCATGTTTTCCCCGCCCGCAAGTCCGCTAGGACTCCACACATCCATCAACCTATTACTCTGCCCGCACCTCAAGCTTGCACACTTCGTTTCTCCGGAGTATACCCCATAGCGCAGATAGTTTCCGCCCACGGCAGCCGCGCAGATGGTTGCGGGTTGACTTTGGGGAGGGGAGGGGACAGGTGTAGCCTGGACGAGGGGCAAAATGAAATAAGGAGTGGGGCTAGATGCTAGTGCGTGAGTGAGGGTAGGCGACGCGACGCGAGGGGAGATGCTTGGCGACGGGCAGCAGAACGAATCAAACAAAAGAAATCGAAGCGAACGTCTCTTGTGGATGGCTGCACCCTCCACGCGCTCCCTCCCCTCCACGCGCTTTCCATTTCGCCCCACCCCATCCAGCACCTTGCGATCCCATGCGACGGAGTGCGAGAGAAGGCGCAGGAAGGAGCGACTGAGAGCGAGAGTTGGGTGGCGAACACAAACAAGACCGTCAATTCTGCCTAGGGAGCGGAGGCATGCGAAACAGACCGATCTTTTTCATTTCCTCACGCGGAGAAAGCTAGTTGTCGTGGGATTGGAGCGGTGGCTGCTTTGTCGAGCTTTCATGACTTTGTCTGGTTAGTTGCTCGTCGGCAGTTCGGTGGGATACTGTCGCTTGGAATCGATGGCAGGAGGGACATAGACCAATGTTTGCAGAGGTTGGCTCGACTATGGATGTAGAATAAGATTGGTCAGTGTCGTTAGGAAATCTGCAGCGCCTCTTCTACCTCAGCCGATTTGAGCATCACGAAAGCTACTACTATCAGAAGCAGTTTGTTCTCGGGCATCTAACGCTGAAAAGGGGAATCAGTTAAGGACAAGAAAGCACTCGCCTCGCTTTCCTCATGCTCAACATTCCGCCAGTCACCCTGTCTCCTTCGTAGCTTGATTCATCCCTTGCGTTCTTAGCTGGTGCGTCTCGTCGTCGCGGCGGCGGAGTTATGGTCGATCACCCATCCGTGAACATACACTTGCAGGCGTCTCCTCCTACCTTCCTCACTCATCGGCACTACCATACTCTGGAACGCTCGCCGCTCGCCGAACTCCCCGCGTACGAAAAGTTACCCGCGTGTGCGAAACCGTGCGACAGAGACACCCCAAAAGCCGTGTTCTTTATGACATGTCGGCAGAGCCCCGGGCCAATGACGAAATCTCCTGATAACCTGACGCCGCTACTACCCTGCCCCGATAGCCCAGTAACACCTGACTGTAAACGGCAAGCGAGGAAGCTACATTCGGGAAAAGGCCGGGGGTTGCTAACGCCGAGTTCGATACCAGAAGCGAATAAATGGTTTTCGCGGAAATGGCAAGAAGGGCGGCGCGTGGCCCTGTTGAGTTTCCGCGCGTCCGTGTTTCTCATCGTTATCGGTTTCACCATGGTCGCCTTTTCGTTCAACGCCATCCCGACACACGAGGTAAGCACGTCAAGGTGCTTGTATCGAATTTGTCCCCCACTGTGCTCCCTCTTCCCATTTCCCCCGTTGCTCTGGTGTTGCATATCGGTGCAGCTTCGCTCAAGCGTCTCAATGTTTTGCTTTCCGCTTCTCCTCCATTTCCCCCCTCCAGATCGTCAGCCTCAAACCAAGAAGTTCTATCGAGGAGCGAAGCGGGCCAAAGTCGTTCTTCGGTAGTGAGTTCGCAAGGGCGATTTTCGCTGAGTCAGGTTACAACATTGCAGCAGATTCGCAAACTGGGCCTTGTTCAACGTCGGGATCTGACGCAGGCTCGGCAGGTTCTGGGTCCGGAAGTTCAGGTTCGGCAGAGCTAGAGCCTCAGGAAGTGTCCTCCGAAGTACAAATACTATTGAGTCGACAAGGAGCGGATATCACGGCAGAGATTCCGGGTAGAGTAATGCTCGTGTCAGGTTGACGGGAGCGAGCGTTTGAGACTGGCGGAAAGAAGGGAAGGAGGAGATTACAGTGAGGAACAGGGGGAGGGGGAGGGGGAGGGGGAGGGAGAGGCGGAGGCGGAGGCGGACGGAGAGGGGGAGCGGGAGGGAGAAAGGGAGGGAGAGATGGAGGCGGGAGACGCGGAGGAGAAGGGGAGCGGTGATTACAACGACTCGGCTGATAAAGGCGAGCAAGCAGAGGGGGATTCATCGTCGTCTTCCGCCTTCCCTTCCCCCAGCTCGTTCATTCCGCTTCCGCCCGTGTTGGCGGGGGATGCGCACCCTCCCCCCGCGCCCGTCAAGGAGCAGTTTCTGTGGCGCAACCCGCGCAGCCACTGCTACGCCAAGTGCAATGCGGAGGGCAAAAAGGGCGCCGCGCTCAAAGGTGAGGGGGGCGGAAGAAAATTGAGGGGAGGGGAAGCGGAAGAGGGGGTGCAGTGAAGAAAGCGCAGAGCGATGGGATTTTTTCACGCCAGAAAGCCTGTTGGCATGGGAGTCTGCGGAACAATCCTGGGGTTGAATTCTGTCGAAACCTTTCCCCCCATACTTGCCCCACTCCCCGCATCCCTACAACTTCTGTCGCAGAGCCTTACAAAACTGTTATCGCCTTGTATCGCCCTGGTTTCGCAGGTCGTCGCAAGGGCAGTCGCGGTCCTCTTCACAGTCGCCTGCGGGGTCGCCCGGCGAAATCCGCCGTGGAGCACGCGGCTCGCGCGATGGCAATGGCGGAGTGGGAGCGCAAGGTGCAGGACCCCGCGCGGCGGAAGCGCGTGCTTATTTTGATGAGTGACACTGGCGGGGGCCATCGCGCGAGCGCGGAGGCCCTGAAATCGACGTTCGAGATGGAATTCGGCAACAAGTATGACGTCAACATTGTCGACTTGTGGACGGATCTCACGCCATGGCCGTTTAACCAACTCCCTAAGAGTTACAACTTCCTCGTGCAACACGAGACGCTCTGGAAAATGACCTACTATGCGACGGAACTCAAGTTCGTGCATAAGCCGCAGATGGCAGCGACGTTTGCGTTCGTGGCGCGGACGGTTTCGAAGGGGTTGGACAAATACAAGCCGGACGTGATTGTAAGCGTGCATCCGTTGATGCAGCACGTCCCGCTTCGCGTGCTTAAATGGAGGGGGCTTTTACATCGCATCCCATTCATCACTGTAGTCACGGATCTCACCACCTGCCATCGGGCATGGTTCAGCCGACAAGTCAGCGTTTGTTTCTGCCCGACAAAGGAAGTCGCGCAACAAGCACTTAAAGCCGGACTCCAGCCCTCGCAAATCAGAGTGCACGGGCTTCCCATTCGCCCCGCCTTCGCCAAGCCTTCGCCACCCCAGGCCGAGGTTCGGCAATTGCTAGGGATGGATCCGGAGCTGCCAGCGGTGCTGCTAATTGGCGGAGGCGAAGGCATGGGGCCAGTTGAGGTGACCGCGAGGGCTCTGGCGACAACACTGGCGCCGGAAACGCCAGGGGGGAGAGCGAAGGGTCAGATGATTGTTATTTGCGGGCGAAATAAACAGCTGCAGGCGACTTTGGAGGCCATAACGTGGCCCATGCCGACGCAGATCAAGGGTGTGGTTACCAACATACCCGAAGTCATGGCAGCTTCAGACTGCGTCATCAGCAAGGTGTGTAGAAGTGTTACACTGGAGCTGCTAATATGCTTCTTGCTCACTCTGCTCATATGTTAGCATTGTGTTGATCTATTTCTAGCGTTAAACTCATCCTGTCACTCCCCTCCCATTTGCCATCTTTCTGCTTGTTTTCTGTACAGGCCGGTCCTGGCACCATTGCAGAGTCGATGATCAAAGGCCTACCCATGATCTTGAATAGCTACATTGCTGGCCAGGTCAGTGTACCTTAAAATTCCTCCTTCCATCAGTGCCTCATTCATGGTGCATGTATTTGCTGCTTGATTAGCTGCTTCTTTCTTTAGCCTGCTCACCTTCTCTCTTCTCTGTTCCTTGGTCTTTGTTACAGGAAGCTGGCAATGTTCCCTTCGTTGTCAAGAACGGGGCTGGGTTGTTCGAGGAGAATCCCCAAAAGATTGCCCAAATAGTGGCCGACTGGTTTGGACCCAAGGTGGATGAATTCAAGTGGATGGCAACGAATGCTCGCCGATTAGCCCGACCTGACGCAGTGTTCCGGATTGTTCGCGACCTCGACCAACTAGTAAACCGACCTCACACCCTTGATAATGTCACATTCGCCTACTCTTGAGCCACGCATAGTGGTGTCTCCCTTGTGAGGGGACTTCATCTCCTGTAGAGAAGTCTTGCTTGATTATCCATCCCAGATGGACCCGTGCTATTCTAACCATAGAATGCCTTGGAGCTGAAGCTGCGAGGTTTTGTACGAAGTTAGCAACCGCATGGTGGGGCGAGTGCAGCAAGGTGCTGTCGTAGGATCTCCGCCATGCTAGTTTAAGTTTCCAGGATTGTTAATTGCCTGTGATTCATTATATGCCCAACATGAAACACTCCTGTCGTTATTTCACTGGTAACTTGTGTGGGAAGCGGACCTGGTGTTTTTGTCCCCTTACGGTCTTTGTGCCATTTCTGGTGGAGAGAATGAGGGCACCAACCATTTTTTCTCGGCCAGCTGTGAGATCTTCCCTAGACCCAGGCTATCCAGCCTGGCATGTCGTTACATATTCCCCCTGACGTGACGCTCCTCCAACTTGACCAGCCACGAAATGGTCCAACGACTCGATCAAATCGACGCTGTACAAGGGTGCATCACAACGCAACGCAAGCTCTTTGGCCAGCAAAATGAAGGAAGCACGATTCGTCTGGTCTGGCTGGAGTCTGGGTGGTCGCTGCAACGTGGGAATGAAAGCAGAAAAAAGGACGGGTGTAATTTGAAGGTTTTGGAAGGCAGGTGAGGAGGTGATTCAAGGTTTTGTGAGGTTAGGAGGCAAAATTGACTCCCAAGTTGAATTGATTAGTGCTGGGGGGATGGCGGCCTGAGGTGAGGAGGATCAAGATTCGATGTTGATGTGACGTAGCCAAGGACAAGTGTTGTCCACTCAGTATCCGCGAATGAGGTAGCAGCCGGCATTTTCCAATTGAGTTCGCTGTAGTGTACAAGACTAGTGACTACCTCTTACAGCTTTGAAGTAGGTGCTACACTGACTTGACAAATAAAAAAATCATCTTATGTGATGTATCAGGGTGAGCAAAGGTGATTATAGCTTTCCTAATAAGGGAGATAGGTAGAAATCTTCACGATATTACACCATTAATTCGTCAATAGGTACAGAGAACAACCATAAATTACACTACTAACCATGCAGACTAAGGGTATGCATAGAACTAGAGCAAGCTACACATTCTTAGACGCCACTATGCTTTGAGTGAGGCCATCCCTGATTTGTGCAGAAATATCTCCCACGTTTCCTGGCCCATGTGGAATAAAAATAGTGGAAGACTTGTTGTTGGCTCCTATGTCCCTCATTGTGTCGAAGTACTGAGTCAGCATCACCTGGAGAAAACACGAAAGTGCACAAGAGGGGGGAATAGGAGGTGATGCAGGAGAAATGAGTTCGGCTGGGATTTAGGATGCAAGTGAAAAAGGCACAACGATTATAAAGTCAATGGGTTGGGTGGGAGTTATGGACTGATTTGGGAAGGAATTTTTAGTATTGCTCCTAATTTCCAAGCATGATTGCCAGATTCTCTGTCTGCTAAAAAAAGAGAGTCAATAAAAGTCAACCCCAGTCAATGCAACCCCTTGCCCCTCATCTCACCATATCAAGCACATCCTTGGCAGTGGTTCCAGGAACCTGCGAGGAAAATCCCATCACGCTCTCCCGCAGCCCGTCCACAATGGCCTGCCATGAAGGTGCAGATGGGTTGAGGAGAATGTGTGAAGGGGTTACAAGGTTTGCCAAGGGGTGAAAGGAACCTCATCATCACGCTCTCCCGCAGCTCATCCACAACGGCCTGCCATGAATATGCAAAAGGGTGGCAGGGTTTAACGGAATGTGTAAAATGGTTCTAAGGGTTGCACATGGGTGACGAGCTGACTCGAAAGTCCATGATAGCCGATAGCCCACAATGAACGTGCAGGTCTGGGCTGAATGGAATGTGTAAAATTGTTAAAAAGGAGTGCAAAGGGGTGAAGGGAATGCATGATTGCATCAAAGTTGCGTAATGGCAAAGAGAATGAGCGAAAGGTCAATCAATTGGCCGACCAGTAACATACTACCGTACCTGTCTACCGTCTATCCACTACCGTACCTGTCGCTGCCGAGCCACACCAACGCCAGCGAGGTACTTAGCCTCGGCATCACCCTCCGCCTTCTTGACCTGCAGAATCTTCTCCGCCTCAGCCTTCTCTTGTGTCGCCTGCCGAATGCGCTGGGCTGCACGGGGAGTGAGAGAGAGGGGGTGAAGAAGGGGGAGCGGGGGAGAAGAGGGGGGAGAGGTTGAGAGGTGCCTTCTTGACCTGCAGGATCAATACCGCCTCCGCCTTCTCTTGTGTCGCCTGCCGAATGCGCTGGGCTGCACGGGGAGAACGGGGGAAGGGGGGGAAGGGAGGAGGAGGGGGAGGAGGGGAGAGGGGGGGAAGGGGAGGGAGGGCGAAGAGGTACACATGACGCAGCGTTGTGACTTTCACAGATCTTCGCCTAAGATGGGTTCACCTGTGTTGACTTTCACTGACCTGTGTTGACTTTCACTGACCTGTGTTGACTTTCACTGACCTGCGTTGACTTTCACTGACCTGCGTTGTCTGAATGACCTGCATTGTCTTTTATTGTTCCGTGTTGTCTCACTGACCTGGATTGACTCTCATTGGCCTGCATTGACCAGCGTTGAATAACACGAACCTGCGTTGATCTCGTTCATGGCGACTTTGACTCGCTCGTCCGGCTCCACGTCCACTATCAGCGTCTGCACGATCCGATAGCTTCTGACCTGCATTGACTTATCGTTGACCTGCGTTGACTCACTGACCTGCGTTGATCTCGTTCATGGCCACCTTGACTCGCTCGTCCGGCTCCACGTCCACTATCAGCGTCTGCACGATGCGGTAGCCATAGTCGTGCATGGCCTGAGGGGCATGGCATGGGATATGAAGTGCATGGGGACATAAGGGCATGGGCTCTCCAACATAAGGTTGTTAGCATGAATATCAGCGCACGATGCGGTAGCCATAGTCGTGCATCGCCTGAATCAAAGTGCACAGGGACATAAGGCCATGGGTTCTCCAGCATCAGGTTGTTAGCACCACTATCAGCGTCAGCGTGATGCGGCAGCCATAGTCGTGCATCGCCTGAAGTGAAGGGAAATGAGGCATGGAAGGGCATGGCGGGCATGGGGCAGGAAGGATAAGACAAAACAATGGGCGCATAAACCCAAGCGGCTGAAAGATGGACAGTGCTTGCCTGGCACTCGCATCGTACCTTTTTCGAGCTCCTTTTCCACGTTTTGCGCATCTCGTTCTTGGATGTAAACACTGAAAAGAGGCCGAAACTATTCTCGCTCTTGGATATGAGCAGTTGGCCATCTTTGGCTTACGGGTTCTTACGGCTGCTCACAACCGTTCTCTGCGCGCACAGAGAAAAGACCTGCCATACCTTTTCGAGCTCCTTTTCCACGTTTTGCGCGATTTCGTTCTTGGATGTAAACACCTCATCGAGGTCCATCTTGGGTACGCTGCTTCGCACGACTGCGCGGACACCAAAGAATAGGGCGATGGCGGAAAGGTGGGGAAGGGGGGGAAGCAGGGAAGAGTGGAAGTGGGAAGGGGGGGGATAAAAAAAATGACGGAACAGGGAACATAGGCAATGCGGTCTTTGCAGGGCAAGTGCGGGGAAGAGCCGGTTTTGGGTCTTTTAAAGGGAACGCGATAAGGGGAGGTTGGAAGCGGGAAGAGGAGGGTGGGAGAAAAGCAAAGCGCAATTCTTTGTGCGTACCGTCGAAGACGTATGAGCGGATTTGCGCCTGCGGGTCGGCGAGGCGGTAGAACGCGTCTTCGACTTGCTCGCGGATGGCTTGATACTGAATCGACGCGACGACCGTCACAAACACGTTGTCCTTCGTTTTAGTCTCGCAGCGCACGTCGAGTTGGTTGATGCGAAGACTCATGAGCCCCGCGGTGCGGTAGCAGCAGCACCAGGGGACGCAGTAGCAGCCCGGGTCGAGCGCGCGAACGAACCGCCCGAAATGCTCGACCATCGCGACCGTTGATTGGTCCACCTGGAGGCATCCGAACATCTGATCCATGGCTGAGGTTCGACTTGCGTGTCCGGACCGAAAGAGGGAAACTCCGGAAAGAGTCTTTGATTTATCCGAAGTATTGGGCGCGGCGCGATTGGTCGTCCGAGAGAGGGAAAATTTTGGGTGGCGTGGAGTGGTCCGCGTGCGAGAATATCTTTCAGCATCAACTTGGAGAAGTAAAGAAAGGGAGCAATGCGCGTTTCCGTGCCAGACTCTGAGGTTCTTTATGTTTTAGAAAGCCGAGGATAGTTGATGGGGGAAGAAGACGGGTGAGAAGAGCGAGGATGAGAGGAAGCGCGTCTCGCGGGGCCACTTGCCTCGCTAGCAACGGTTGGTGGGTTTCTCCAACGCGGATGACGACAGACGCGGAAAGCACACCCTATTTCACACGGTACAGTAGCGGAGCGCAGCGCAAGGCGCTCGCAGCCCCCGGAGAGAGGGAGGGGGGGCGGGAGAGGCCGAGAGAGCCGAGAGTGGGGTGGAGTGGAGGCTGAGGGGGGAAAAGAGCGGTTCCTGAGAGGATCAAGAACCGATGGGACGTAACGCTGTGATTGGAGGATGTTCCTTTCGAGCCGCGCCAATTTCAAGACGCAATGTTGCATTTCCCAGGGAGTGACGTCCCCACGTTCCTCATTGCTCACGGAAGTCGTGCGTGCGCAAGCACGGCACAGCGATATCCCCGACACAGGTTCTTGGCGAAGGGGGCGTTCCACGCAAGCCAGTCCAGCGTGCTGCCAGCTAATTGGCAATAGGCCTTTGCTGACGCTGGAAGCGCTGATTCGCGCAATATCCGAAAGACGCCATAGTACGACTTCGATGTAAGAGAGCACGCACGTCATAATCAGCTAAATAACTTGGAGCATTCAAGACAATTTTTGGGATGGTCCGAAGGGAATAGAATCAAGCAACAACAATCCTGATTCATCTAAGCACACTCTGGCGGCGAGACAGAAATTTATCCAAAGTGCCATAACGATCCGCCTTTCTATTTCCATGAGCACCCACCGACTTCCTTTCAGATTTGGAACGCTTCGTTTGTGTTGGCTGAGTGTGCTTGCTCTCGGCAATTGCCATCTCCCTCTTCAAAGGGCAAACTAATTTTGAGCTCTTGGCGTCGCCGTTTTCCTCTGCCTCCAGCATCAAGGCAAAATGATAGTCCAGGTGCTCCTCCACCCCTTCCACCTGAATCTGCTTCCCACATTTGTCACACCTCCACACAGCACAAAGATCAGTTGCACGCTCAGCACAAAGATCCAGATCTGCAGGCTGACATGAACCACCTCCTCCCTCATTAACAGGCATCAAGTCTCGAACCACTTGTGCAGCACGCCCACGATGCATCACCTGAGCAGAGTCTTTCTCCTCTTCGCCATCCCTCACCCTCTCAGCCTCACCATCCCTCGGATTCTCCCCCTCACCTGCAGCAGCAGCCCCCTCGGGTACCAGCACCTGAGAGCACACTCTCTCTCCACGGGGTAACACATCCCTCCCTCTTATCTCACCTTCCTCCCGTCTCCCATCTCTCTGATCCCTTCCCCCCTGCACCATCGGCCCTGCATCCACATGTCGTGGCTTCACCCACCAATCCAACCCCCCAGCAGCAGCCGCCTTCTCGGGCGGCAGCACTTGAGAGCACACCCTCTCTCTTCCTGGTACCACATCCCGTATTAAGATCTCATCTTCCTCTCTCCCATATCTCTGCATCATTCCCCCCTGCACCATCGGCCCTGCATCCACATGTCGTACCTTCAACCACCGATCTATACCTCCAGCAGCAGCAGCAGCGCTCTCTGGTGGCATTTGAGGCGACTCAAAAACAACCGGAGAGCACACTCTCTCTCCACGGGTTACCAACTCTCTCCTTCGCATCTTATCTTCCTCCTCCCTCCCATCTCTCTGCTCCCTTTCCCTCTGTACAATCTGCCCTGCACCCCCTCCTCGTGGCTTCAACCATTTCTCGATACACCCAGAAGCAGCACTGCCCAGTCGTAACACCTCAGGGGACTGGCTCTCCACACAACACCTCCCGGCACTCTGCTGCACCTCTGTTCTGTGTGCTTTGATCTCTTGTTGCAGATCCCCAAACACAGCATTCCCCACAGCATTCCCCACAGCATTCCCCGTGTCTGTTCTGCCTGGTTCAAGAGACTGCTGCAAGCCCTCCGCACCAGCATTCCCACCGTCTTTTCTGTGTGGTTTGAGCCACCGTTGCAGGCCCCCACCAGCAGCAGCAGCAGCAGCAGCAGCACTACCTCGCTGTCCACACTCGGACTGCTGTAATCCGGAGGAGAAGGAGGAGGAGGTGAAGGAGGAGGAGGAGGAGGAGGAGGAGGAGGAGGAGATGAAGTTTGTGGCACCCACGTTGATCACCAGCACTGGGAGGAACTGAAATGCGGTATCTCGGGCATCACAACAACTAGAAGCTGCACCAGATCTGGTTGCTGATGGAGGAGGAGGGAAGGCCCGGGAGAGGAGGGAGGAGGCGAGGTGGAGGAGAGACGAGATGCGGAGGGCGGGAGGGGTAGATGGGGAGAGGGCCTGCGAAGGCATGGGGCACGAAGCAGATGTGAACCTGCAGGGCGGACAATATTCCAAAGAGGATCGCGGAACAGGGAGATTTTATTAGGCGCCTAAAATAGTGTGGGGAGGCAAGGGGAGGCAAGGGGAGACAAGGGGCACGAGGCAGATGTGAACATGTGGGGCGAATGGTGGTGAACCTGATGAAAGAAAACAGGGTGCTTGCTCTAGATTGTCCCACCAGCTCCCACCCCTCCTCTCTCTTCCTCCATTTGACAGTAAGCGTCCTCAATCTTCTCCTCGTCCCCTCTAACTCACACCCCTGCTTCAACCTTCATCAACCATCTTCACTTCACCACAACCACAGCTCCATTCTACACCCCACTCACCTGTACTCCTTCTCTCTTTTCCTCCATTTCACAGTGAACGTCTTTGGTCGTCTCTTCGACTCCTCCCACTCCTCATCTATGCGAGCCAACAGGTCAGGAAGCAAGCCTTGCACAATGGGCTGGTGCATACCGAGGCAGAACGGAAAGGAAGGGGCAGGAGAAGGGAGAAGCGGTGACTGTTTGGATGCAAAGGGAACTAGTGGTAATTGTTCAAGTTCAATAAATCTTCGGCAGGGCAAGTGGCAGGGCGTCCGTTTGGTGATACCTGTTCCCTGCATACATCCAATCCAAGCACAAATTGTACACACCTTAGCCTGTGCGAGGGAGTGGATGGGCGGGAAGGAATTCTCTACTGATACGCTCTTGGCTGGTCCCTTGCATGTCACTACGGGTGTTTCCGTTCGGGAATTCATTTTACCTACATACGTCCAAGCACACCACACACACACACACACACACACACACACACACACACACACACACACCTTAGCCTGTGCGAGGGAGTGGATGGGCGGGAAGGAATCTTCCACCGATACGCTCTTGGCTGGACCTTTGCAAGTCACTGGTGTGGGGTCGTAGGCTCGGCATGCACCAAAGAGGAACGGTGCTAGCTTCGGGCCGAGCCTGTAAGTCACATACATACCCACAAAAGCACGCTCCCGCACACGCAGGCACACGCACGCATCCCCTCCCCTTCCCCAAGACACACACACAGACACATTACACACGCACTTACGCACATACACACGCGCACTCCGACACACACACATGCACACACAACCACACACACATGCAATGCAAGCCCACCCACATGCCCACACTAGCATGCAACCACAAGATGGAGGCATAAAAGGATGTGCATGTGAGAAGCGGGTCAACCTAGCATGTTTGTCAGACGTGAGTCAACTACTACCTTACCCAGCATGTCCATTTAGGGGGTCGAATAGCATTCCAATAGTGTCAATACACTAGCCTGTCGCCCCCACACACTCCCAAGGATGCTTTACCATAACTGGAGATCTTGAAGGGTGAAGGCGAGAAGACCTTTCATTACAGTCACACCCCTGGAGGCAAGCTGCTCCTCCAATCGCCTGCCGACACCTGGCACCTTCCTGACGGGCAGATTGGAGATGAAATCCACGGCCGCGGACGCGACAAGTGTCGTCTGGTCATTGGGCTTGTGGCGCGAGCTGACAAGCTTGGCTAGCATTTTCTGGGAAGCAGGGTTGGAAAAGGCAAGTTAAGAGAGAAGGAAATGGATGGCGTGAGTAGAAGAAAGGAATGAAAGGCCAATGGTACAAAAGACCAGAGGCATGGGGATACGGCACTCACATTATGCCTTTCGAGTCGACTCAAGGTGGCCTTATGCATCGACTCAAAAAGTCACTAAGAAACGAATGAAAGAACAATGGTATGGAAGACCAGAGGCATGGGGATACGGCACTCACATTGTGTGACACCCCACAGGACATCTGGTAACCCGTTTCCTCCTCCACTGCTCGCCTTGCCTGGCCGGCAATCCAACTGCCTGCTGCCAAGTGGCACTCTCCCGGCCCCAAAAACAGGCAACGATCATGACAATTCTCCTCATTTCCTTGCCCTCCTCGTCCGCCTTCCTCGTCGATCTCACTTGCTGCTGCTCCTCCTCCTCCTGTTGCTGCACCCCTCTCCACATGCCCAAGGAAGCCTTCCTTGAAGCTTCCTGTTGCCACCATGGCGGCCACTCTGGGTGATAGGTCCACAAACGCCTCGTCCAATCCGAGCCTGCCACGTGGGTGAAAATTAGTATCAAAACACATGATGCACGAGATATGAGAGCGGGTGGCGGACAGGGGAGAAGGAGGAAGAGAGAGGGAGCGAGTGGGGAGGCGGGCGGGCCACGAGGAAGGGAGGAAATCGGGGAGGAAGCAAGAAGGGACTGAATGAGACAGAAACTGAAGGAAAAGATTCCACATTCCATTCGTGTGAAAAACATGAGAAGAAAAGGGTTGCACCTTTCAAGGGTTCCAAATCGAGAGAGGACAGAAAATATCTTCTTGCTGGCTGCCCTGTAGGGAGTGAGGTCCTCCCCGTTGACCAGCACGATTTCTGGACACCTGCATACAGCATGGCCCAAGGGACATGACACGTGTGGTTAGTACACACAACCACCTGGTGTGGTGTTATGTGTCGTCTCAAAGCTGCCCTGTAGGCGTGAGGTCCTCCCCATTGACCAGCACGATTTCTGGACACCTGAAAAAGCAGGGCCAGGGGACATGACATGGCACGTGTGGTGACCATACCCCCACCGCTTGCATGTTGCATATCCAAGCACCTATCAATAATATTTCTGCACACGTACACTGACCAATCAGTAATTACCTGTTTTCATTATACCCATCCCATCTGCACCACACACACCCCGTGTAAACACGATCACAGCCCGAAAATGATCACAGCCTTCTTACCCGAGTCATACTTGCCTGGTTCGCGCATCATCAATGGAAGCCATCTTGGGAACTCCTCGAGCTCGAGCAGCATAATTGGCAGTCACCACCAGAAATTTCTGCCATGCAGGAAAAACTATGTATATAATTAATTCTTCCCACTCACCACCACCAGAAACCACTGCGGTTCAAAGCGTCCTCACGATTGGAAACATTTAATCACGCGATTGTGAGAAAAGAAGAATCTAAAAAATTATTGCTTTCGCGCTGCGAATTGGTTGGTCCTGACACTCACCTGCGTGACGCCTAGAGGCCTGTCCTTCAGCTCGGGCCGTCTCTGCTGCTCCACCTGTGCGTAGAAACAGTCAAGGTCCTGCCACAGCGAGTGACGGATCAAGAGAGCCGAAAGCGAATTGAGGAAGTTCCGGAAACTGATCAGCGTGAGCTCTCTCAACATACGCGTTACGACGCGGTCTTATTGCAGAGACATTCCCATATTCTGATATACTTCTACTATTATGGGCTATAGCATACGGCTCCTGCCAAATGTATACCGCTGCTTTAAGAAAAATCGTTCTTACGAAGTGTGCTATGACGCGGTCCCATTGCTGAAACACGGAAACCTCCATTGGCGTCAACATGAGAAACTAGCAGCAAACAGTGGCGAAGTGTTTCTCGTAGCAGCAACAGAGCTAAAGCTGGGGCGCTGGGAAAATGAGCAGATACTGCGGGACTCTGGAATGCTGCAAGGAAGGGGGGAAGGCATTCTAGGTTTTCGCTTGGCGTCACTCAGACGCTTCTCAGAGCATCTAGTGCCTACAAAAAAAAATTCATACGTTTGGAATCAGACGCAGATTGAAGTAGAAATGTACTGCTCTAAAATGCTGGAACAGCATCTTCTAGGTGGATCATTTTGATAAATTAGAAAGAGAGATGTGGTAATAGAAATCAACATTTAGCTTATGGGAGATACAGCAGGCTGAGAATTGTTAGCCTAACTAGTGTTCTGGGTTCTTGGGGTTTGCAAATAGGTAAAACTAGGTGGCAGAGTTCGACTAACTGCCCCAAGCAAGTCCAATTGGCCAATGACCAAGGCTCGGCAGAACGTTCGAGGCACACCCTGGCAACATGTCAGGCAAGGCCACCAGACCCAAACCTTTGCCAAGCCTCTGAGAGCAGGTTCAGGTTTTGAAGTGCTAGCCATCGGTGTTTTCGCGCCATTTCTGCGCTTCCGTACAGGCGGAAATGAAATGGGTGGAGAAGAGGGGAACAGTTTCTGATCTCGTGGTCGGACTTGGCCAATTTTGCGCCTTTTTTGCGCCAAACTAGCTTCCGTAGGTTTCCGTGCATTCAAATCAAAGCTGCAGTTGATGTGGCATTTTTGGTTCATCTACACAACTCTTATTCCCATCCACATTCACTTGCTGCTGACCAAGGCAGATCGTCGATTGTCGCCTCATTATGTTTCCTGATCCTCCAGTAGTAACTTTGCCTGATCCTTCCTGATCCTCCGCTAGAAAAAGCAGGTGTATTAACTCTCTAGGGATATACTGTCATAACCAACATCGGGTCGCGCGATGCTCCCGTTTCAAAGCGGCGCGACGGCGTCGAGCGGATCGGGTCTCGGCGATCTCACGCCGCGGCACCGGCCGCTGTTCATCCGCACGCGGCAACGGCAAACTCCGCGCGGATCCGACGGTCGATACGATCCAACCGCTCACCAGCACAATCACAACCGTACACTGGCCTCCGCATCCACAACCGCGTTCCAACAGCACTCTACGCAACCGCATCCGCCGCCGCAGCACACGGCGTTTCAAACGCAGCAGACCCAAGCTTTCATCCAACCAGCGCAGTACCAACCACAGCAGCAGCAACAGCAGCAGCAACAGCAGCAACACCAGTGGTCGTGGCAGCAGCACCCCCAATATCAACAGCACCAGCGTCAGCAGCACCTCCAGTCACAGCAGCAACCACAGCCACGTCAGCAGCAGCCGCAGCAGCAGCGGCAAGGCGACGGGGTGTTTAGGTTCGGCATGGGAGGGCACCAGCAGGGGCATTTTGGACTCGGACCCGCCAAGTCGACGCTGTGGTCGTGGAGCAAGGCCATGTGGAGCGATCCCATGCAATGGCCGCGTACGTACAATCGTTCTATTTAGGTTGCATTTGCTCTTGTTGTTACACTAGATGGAATACCGTCCAGTCAATTCGATGGTCTGGTCATGCAGCAAGGCCATGTGGAGCGATCCCAAGCAATGGCCACGTGCGCGCCTTTGATTATTACGGATGGTTTTGCGTGGGTTTCAAGTCGGTTCAAACCCCACGCCGCCACCCGTCCCCCTCCTTCCCTCTCCCCCTCGTGCCATCATATCCTACGGTGCTTCAGATGTGTACGAGGGGTGTCAGGACCGCATTGGCGAAGACCCACGAGCCATGCCTCCTCGCAATGATCTCCACACGTGCACTCTGGTAACCACCATGCACTGTTTGGTAACCACCATGCATGTTCTGGTAACCACCAAGTACTTTCTCTTAACCACTGCATTTTCTGGTAACCACCCTGAGTACTTTCTCTTAACCAGTACGTTGTGACTTTGTCCCCTGCTATTCTCCCTACCAGGTGCCCCGCATAGGCAAGCGCAAAACGGTGACGGTGGCGACGACAGTGAAGAAGGGCGACTGCCTGTGGGGCATCAGTCGACAGCTGACTGGCACGGGCACCAATTGGAAGGGTGAGTAGGATGTGAGGAGGTCAAGAGGCAGGTTTCAGTTTGGAAAACGGTTTGGAAAAGAGTGCCTGTGGGGCATCAGCCGACAGCTGACTGGCACGGGCACCAATTGGAAGGGTGAGTAGGATGTGAGGAGGTCAAGAGGCAGGTTTCAGTTTGGAAAACGGTTTGGAAAAGAGTGCCTGTGGGGCATCAGCCGACAGCTGACCGGCACGGGCACCAATTGGAAGGGTGAGTAGGATGTGAGGAGGTCAAGAGGCATGTTTCAGTTTGGAAAATGGTTTGGAAAAGAGTGCCTGTGGGGCATCAGCCGACAGCTGACTGGCACAGGGACCAACTGGAAAGGTGGGTAGGGTGTGCGGTGATCTTGGGAAAGCCAGGGTTTGAGTGAGGGGAGGAGTGTGCGTGGCGTAGGTAGTAGGCAGCTGACTGGCACAGGCACCAACTGGAAAGGTGGGTAGCCTGTGAGAGCCCTCACTCCAAGAAATACTCACCAATATCAATAACGCTATCCAAACTGGCACTGTCAAGGGGAAGGGAAGGGTGCGAGGTAGGGGAGGAGTGTGTGTGGCGTAGGTCAGCTTTCTGGTGTCCTTTGTGGCCAGCTTCTGGCCTGCTTCTCAATCTGTCCCATTCTCTCACTCCTGTCATCCACCTTTCTCCCTTCCCCTCTCATCATTCTTCTCCAACCCCTCCACTCCATGCCAGACATAGTGAACGAGAATCAGCATTATTTCAAAAGGGCAAAATTTGACACTCCCATTGACGACGATCTTTTTATCATCCAACCCAGCTGGAAGCTCAAAATGCCAGTCACTGCCCCCCCTCCTCCTGGAGACTGACTAATATTTCCTCCTGACTCTAGACTGCATTTGGTGATAATAACTGAGATGTCTCTGTTCGATTGCCTATGCCAACTGCAAATTGGCTTTGGCAATGGTCATTATTAGCGTCGTCTTGAGCTGGCTCGAGATTTGGCTGGCAGATGTTTCAGGGCCATGGTATTCAGATCGAGAAATAAAATGCCTTTTGGTTGTTAGATATGGTGATATGCACATGTACTAGAAGCACTTAGTAGTTACGGATTAATAAAGCCACCAAGGTGAAAGGAAATACAAGTGGGACACATAGTTCTTCAACAGCTTCTGGTTCAAGTAAGTTGCAAGGGTATTCTGAATTACGTTACAAGTAATTATAAGCATAGCTACTGCATATATGTTTGGCTTATGAATATGTGAATACTCCAAACACCAGGGCGGTTCGCATCGATACAAGCAACATGCAGCAAGCTCCACCAAACTTCCCGCCTTCCACAGCACAGCTCGCCTGCATCCCCGCCAAAACCCAAGGGGAGGCTTCGTTCGGGTAGCACCTTCCGAGCCAAAGCGACGGTCCAGGAGACTCGGCAGAGCCCATTTGACTGTTCCAGCCAATCCAACGGTCTCTCAGCTTTCGCGATGGCCACCCGAATGCGAGGGACATGTGTGGGCGCCTTCATCGCATGGTTCGTCGCTCAGTCAGGTTCTGTGACTCGTGCCACAGCAAGTTCTGGTTTGGTGCACCCACGAGAAGTCCTGTTAAGAAGTAGCACCCGCCCTGACGTGGCGCGAACCCCCCAAGGCTACTTTGACCTCGCCCTCTCTATTGTACTGTATAGCTCTCGCTGTCTTTCATTGGTCGGTTGGAAAGACAGTAGTCGCAACACAACCTGGGACTTTCGCGGGGCCATCGTTGGCTCCCCAGGCCCCAACCTATTCCCAAGCTAGAGAACGCTGAATACCTTTCTAAACCATACAGAAACGCAGTAGACCCTTATGATAGGCTGACAGTCACTCCTAGAGACTGCCGACTTGCAGCACTCAAGCCGATCTCCCACCACCACCACCCGCCACCTTGCTATGATCCTGTCAACTTCAACTTCATCCTGTGCGGTCCACACCACATCCCAGATCAGCCAGTTCATTTCTGCTCCGTCTGTACTTTTTCCATGCCTGCCTTTCACATGGCCACTCCACACACTCTCGTTTCAAAGTTTCGTCTGTACTGTTCGGAGTTGTGTGTGCGCATCTGTGCTTAGTGATCAGATGCGATGCGACACTATAGTGTAGTTTGGTTCTCGCATGTTATGGCTGTTCCCTTTCCTCCCTATGCGCACTGCTGAACGTTTTCTGTTCGTGTCACGGAACGGTTACAGCTACTTATAGATCACTTTGACTCTGACGAAGCTCGTGTTTGAAGAATGCCTCACAGGTTGACTACCTTTCAAAAACTAACAATTAGATTACGGCTTTATAATTCCCGTCTAGCTGCTCGTTAGACGACTTTCGCGAAGTTCCATCAATTCGCATCAAACGAGACTGGAAGTGTGTGTGTTATATAAGCGGTGTGTTACAGCGTTGTTGAATAGCAGTACGTACGTTGTATCAGCGGTACGTACGCTATATCTGCGGTACGTACGCTATATAAGCGGATGCAATGGCGGAACAGCCGGCCGTCAACGTGCATCTACACGCCGCTCCGCACAACAACCTCCTCCACCTCCACCACCATATGACAGATCCTAACTCAGCTGCTCCACACAGTTACGAATCATCCCCGTTACACGCAGCTCCATGTAACGACAGACTTCCAGGCGATCAATCGATTTCGTGTAGACCTGCAGCTGCGCCTAAGACTGGCAATGCTCACAATCCGGTGATGGCCGTCGGGGGATTGGTGATCGGGGGAACAGTGATCGGGGGAGCGGAAGCGGGGGAAGGGAAGCGATCGGTGCGGAAGGCGCATGCGGACGGCAGCAGGTGGCTCAGGGGGAAGACTTACGAGGGGAAGAGAGTGGTTCCGCTGAGTTTCCGCGCGTCCATGTTTCTCCTGTTCGCCGGGATTATGATGGTGGCCGTCTCTTTCAAGTCAATTCCTTCACTTAACAAGGTACGTTCACAATTCAAAGCGTGCGGAACTTCCTGAACTAGTTGCATCTAAGTTCCGCCTGTTCGGCGGTTGCACGTTGATGGCTGGCTGTTGAGATTGTTAACATGTTGAAACAAGCAACATACGCGTTTTAAAACGCATCAGTACACCCTAAATTCCCCACATCCGTTTCCTCTTCGGCGGAGCTTGAATGGAGGCCATTTTGTCCATTGAGTCAATCTAGAACCATTTTGCAGCAAGGTACGTTCATACTTGCGAAGCTTCGATCAGAGTCCGTACTGCGTGCGCGCGACTTCGGTTTGAAATGGCTGGTGGTTGGAACAAAAAAAAACTAAGGTCAATTATGCGATATAACTGTGCCCTCTGGCCTGTTTGATTGTTATCAGAACACGACATGCTCAACTGTCGCCCGCTTTGATGTTGATTCGACAAGTCATGTGCTCAATGCGACAGGCATGCGTCACCAAGTGTTTTTCCGATCCTATAAGCCCCTCCGTTCTACATCCATACGTCACACGTAGCCCAATGCGTTCATTTTTGTTATTTTTTTCCGTGCCCTTGTCGCCAATTTTATTGCATCAGGGGAAGATCGTGCCTGCGGGCGAAATCGTGAACGGCGGCGCGCAGCACGCCTTATTCGCGAGCCGAAACCTAAGAGGTGGCCACGCCGGAGTGTTTATTGCGGGTTCCGGTGATGATATTGGATTGAACGAGGATCCACCACACACGGTGGGAATCGCGGAGAGTGCAAATGAGAGGGGCCGTGTCACCAGGGTAAATGGGGGTTCGCGATTAAGTTCGAAATTGGTTTCTGTATTCGGTTCGGAATTGGGTTCTGGAGATGGTATGTTGAAGAAAGGGAGTATGACTGCGGGAAGAAGAGGTGGTTTGGAAGAGGAGAGGAGAGGAAGTGGAGCGGGGGCAGGGAGTGGGGATGTTGAGGGAGAGGACGAGTACAGGGGAGGTGAGAGTGAGGGGGATGGTGCTGGGGAGGAGAAGCCAGAAGGCAAGAGAGAGAGTGGGAGAGGTGGAGTTGGGGGGAATGGTGGGATGCGGAGGACGAAAGGGAAGGAGGAGGAGGAGGAGGAGGAGGAGGAGGAGGAGGAGGAGGAGGAGGAGGAGGAGGAGGAGGAGGAGGAGGAGGAGGAAGAAGAAGCAGAGGGAGTGAGGAAAATCAGAAGGGTGCGGGCTAATGGGGATAGCTCAGCTGGGGAGGATGAAGAAACTGGAGAGCATAAGGAAGAGATGAATCATGGGGAGGAGGAAAGACGAGAGATGGGTGCCAAGCTGAAGAGGGAAGATGAGGGGGATGTGGAGGGCACGGACGGTGAAGTGGAGGGGGAAGGGGGAGGCAGGTATAGAGGGAGAAGGAGCCGTATTGCGGGCGAGGTGGTGGAAGGAGGGAACGGACACGTGGAGCATGAGGAGCACGAGGGACAAGTGCATGGGCGAGGGGAAGGGGAGGAGGATGGTGAGCAGAGGGCAGCAGGAGAGGAGCACGAGGATGAAGAGAGGGAGCATGAGGAGGGGGCGAAGGAGCATGAGGAAGGGGCGAAGGAGCGTGGGCATAGAGGAACGGAGGACCAGGAATACGGTGACGAGGATCGAGGGGGCCACGAGCAGCATTCAGACGAAGGGAGGCATGAGGAGGGGGCGAAAGAGCATGAGGAGACGAAAGAGCGTGGGCATAGAGGAATGGAGGACCAGGAATACGGTGACGAGGATCGAGGGGGACATGAGCATCATACAGACGAGGGGAGGCATGAAGACGCGGGAGACGAGAGCACAACCCTACTCTCCTCCGCCTCTTCCTCATCCTCCTCCTCTTCGCTCACCTCCTCCCTAGTCTCCCCACTTTCCCCTCTCAATGATTACTCTCAGTCCTCCTCCTCCGTCCCTCTGCCCCCATTCGGATTCAACGCCACTCTCTCCCACGCGCCCCCAATACCCGTTAGAGAGAAATTTCTTTGGAGAGCCCCTAAGAGCCAGAAATATGCGCAGTGCATTGCGCGCTCCCGCACCCATAAAGGTATGTGAGGGGGGGTTTTGAAAGGCTGGCAGAAGGAAGCGGGAAAAGGGAAGGGAAGAGGGAAGGGAAGACGGAAGAAAGAGGGAAGGGAAGGAGGAAGGGAAGGAGGAAGGGAAGGCGGAAGGAAAGAGGGAAGGGAAGAAAAACGGGAAAGATGAGGGGCAAGAGGAAAGTGAAGGAAGGTTGGTGATTGTTAAATATAGCAGCACACGCTTGTGAACAGTCATTCGTGCAAGAAGAACGTCAGCATATGGCCTTATGCTGTTGAATCCACTTAACCTCCTTTAGCAAGCCCCAATCCTTCTGTACCCCGTACTCCAATCCCCCTGCCCGCATCCGTTTCCTTTCTCCGTCGTCATTGCACCTTTGTAATCCAGTTCATGGCTTATTTATACCCCTTCAACGTTCCCCGATTCCTTCTCACTTACCTCCGCATCCCTCTCTCCTCCTCACACCAATTGATTTCTATCAGCTTCCTCCCTCCTCCCCCTCTTTCCCTTTCCCCCTCTCTCTTTCCCCCTCCCCAACTTATCCCACCCCCATCACCTCATTCCCCCTTTTCCCCTCCACCCTTCCCCCTCCATCTCCCTTCGCCCCCTTCCCTCTTCCCCAGTGCCTGTGAAGGGGTCCACCAACGGCTATCTGCTGGTCACAGCCAATGGGGGTCTCAACCAGATGAGAGCTGCCGTGAGTGTGGGTGTGTGATTGCGAGGATGTGGGATAATGAGTGAGGCGTGAGTGTGGGGTGTGAGTTCGCGGTGTGACTGGGAGGCTGTGAGTTATGGGGTGTGAGTGTCGAAATTCGGAGGGTGGAAAGGATTGAGACATGCTGTCAAGCGTTTTCCAGAATGCACACATCTGTCCTCCTCCTCTCCATCGTTCCCTCTCTTCCCATAACCCTCAAAGCCCCCACTCGCTGCTCCCACAACCCCCAAGCTCCCCATTCGTGCTCAAGCCATCCCTTCCCCTCTGCTCAACCCTCCCTTCAGACCTGTGACATGGTGGCTGTGGCGCGCATAATGAATGTCACTCTCGTGGTTTCCTCCTTAGGCAGATATGCTATGGCAACGCCTTTGCTTCTTCCTCCCATTCATCTCTTCCCCATCCCTCTCCCACTTCCCCACCCCTCACCCCCTCACAGATCTGTGACATGGTGGCTGTGGCGCGCATCATGAATGTCACCCTCGTGGTGCCAGAGCTCGACCACACCTCCTTCTGGGCCGACCCCAGGTCAGTCCCTTCCTTTCGCACGCGATTATCACATTTCCGCCTTTTTCTTGGCCATCCAGCACAGCACCTGGCACTCGTTCTAATTCCAGAGCTCCACCACACCTCCTTCTGGGCCGACCCCAGGTCAGTCAGTCCTCCTGACTCCTGTCCGTCTGGTTACTTTGGTCAGCAGTCGGTTGCCTTCTGGACCATTTCGTCAGCTCACTCAAGAAGGGCATTCGCATCGTGTGCCAGCTGCCTCTCTTGCACCCCTCTGCACCCCTCTGCACACCAATGCACCCGTCTGCACCCCTCTCCCTCCCCAACCCTCAGCGAGTTTGAGGACATATTCGACCTGGATCATTTCATCACCTCGCTCAAGAAGGACATTCGGATTGTGCGCCAGCTTCCCTCTGCAATCCAACCTGCTCCCCTCTCTCCCTATCCCCTCTTCTCTCCCTATTTCCCCTCTCTCCCCAGCGAGTTTGAGGACATATTCGACCTGGATCATTTCATCACCTCGCTCAAGAAGGACATCCGCATTGTGCGCCAGCTGCCCAAGCGCGTGGCGCACATAGAGCCTCTTGAGAAGTTCCCAGTCTCGTGGTCGCCGGTAAGATCTCTTGTTCCGTTGCCTGTAACATATGCTGAACTCTCTCATCTTGTGAACACTCGTTGCCATTGGTGGCAGCATGTATGCTCTTTTTCCTTGTGACCCAAGCCAGTGCGCACATAGAGCTCTTGGGGAGGTTTGCTGCTCATTGCGAGAGTTTGTTTTCTGTGTTTTCTGTGTTTCTCCGTTGGTACTGTTCTGCTGTTCTGCCTCCTGGCCCACGCCAGTGCCACAAATGGAATCGCACACCGAACCTCACACCGAATCTCATCACGTCCCATTCCCTCCCACCCCTTTCTGCTTGTTCTCCTATCACCTAGAGGATCTGCTCCTGCGAGTCAAGAAGCACCGAGTGATGCGCTTCCCCCTCACTGGCCCGCGGTTCATGGCTGGCTGGTTGGCTGGCTGGTTGGCTGGCTGGTTGGCTGGCTTAAAGGCTGCTTAACGACTGTCTCTTTCCCCTCCCCCGCCCTCCGCCCCCTCCCGATCCCAGTTCTCGTATTATCGAGAGGACCTGCTCCCGCGGGTGAAGAAGCTGAGTGATTCACTTACCTCTCACCGACTCGCATGTGCCTGCCTGTCTGCCTGTCCACCCCTGCCCTGCCAGTTCTCTTACTACCGAGAGGACTTGCTTCCACGAGTCAAGAAACACCGAGTGATGCGCTTTCCCCTTACCGACTCGCGCCTCGCCAACAATGGTGTGCCTGACTCGATCCAACGGCTACGGTGCCGCGCCAACTACAAGTCGCTGCGCTACACGCCGTCGATCTCGCAGATTGCAGCGAATCTGATCTCGAGATTGCACGCTAGGGGCCCATACATTGCGCTGCATTTGAGGTGGGTCATGTGAGAAGCTTCTGCCTTGTTGCTGTTTTCTTTCCATTTCCAAAATTGCTTTTTTTTCTTTGGAAAGCGAGAAGCATACAAAGAGATCGACTCAACTTTGACCATGTCTCCTATCTAAGTGTCTCTCCCCGTGACCGACCTTTCAGATACGAGAAGGATATGCTGGCGTTCACAGGGTGCGATCATGGGCTGCAGGCATCAGAGAGGGAGGAGCTGAAGGCCATGCGCCTCAACAACTCGCGGTGGAAGGAGGAGGAGATTGAACCGTCTTCTACTTCCCCTCCTCCACCCTCTCTCCTCTATATCTCTCTTCCCTGTGGCCGACCTCCAGATACGAGAAGGACATGCTGGCATTCACAGGGTGTGATCATGGACTGCAGGCTTCTGAGAGGGAGGAGTTAAAGGCCATGCGCCTGAACAACTCGCGGTGGAAGGAGAAGGAGATCGACGGGGAGGCGCGGAGGACGGAGGGGGCGTGCCCGCTCACACCAAGGGAGACGGCGCTGTTCCTGCGGGCCATGGGGTATCCGAATAAAACGCTCATCTACGTGGCTGCTGGGGACATCTACGGGTCTAACGGGCTCGAGGTGAGAAAGAGGAGGGATTGAGGCGCGAAGATCAGTGCAGAATAGAAGGGGCGTGCCTGCTCAGACAAAGGGAGACGGCTCTGTTCCTGTGCTGCGTGGGGTATTCGAATAAGACACTTGTTTACATGGCTGCTGGGGAAATCTATGGGTCTAACGGGCTCGAGGTGAGAAGGATCGGCGATTGAGGTAGAGAGGCAAAAGGGTGTGGATCTCTCAAAGTAGGCGTGCAAAACAGAGAAAGTGTACCCGCTCACACCAAGGGAGTCAGCGCTGTTCCTGCACGCCATGGGATATCCGAATAAAACGCTCATCTACGTGGCTGCTGTGGATATCTATGGTACCGATGGGCTGGAGGTGAGTGAGTGGGAGAGACAGGAAGAGGTGATAAGGTGGGGAGGAAACATGAAAATCTTCTGCTCTTCCAGCCCCATTGCCACTGGCCCAACCCCCCAGCCTTTCCTGACCCTCTCCTCTGCTGTCCACCCTCTGCTCCTGACTCTCTGCCCTCTATTCCACCCCCACCGCCAGGACCTGACTCGCCTGTACCCCAACACGTACACACACAGCACGCTGGCAACAGCAGAGGAGCTGGCGAGCATAGGCGCGTACCAGAACCGGCTGGCAGCTGTGGACTACACAGTGGCGGTGCAGAGCGATGTGTTTGTGTACACGTATGAGGGGAATATGGCCCGGGCCGTGCAGGGGCACAGGAGGTTTGAAGGGCACAGGAAGACCATAATTCCCAACAGGTGAGGAGTGGTGCATAGCGGTGCAGAGGTGAGTCACAAGTGGGTGGCAGTGGCTGTGCAGAGCGATGTGTTTGTGTACAAGTATGAGGGGAAAATGGCCCGAGCTGTTCAGGGGCACAGGCGGTTTGAAGGGCACAGGAAGACCATCATCCCCAACAGGTGAGTAGAGCAGGAGAGAGAGGAGAGGAGAGTGATGCAGAGCGGCACCAAGTGGTGTTTAAGGTATTTCTTTCAAGTGTGCCAGTGGCAATGCACAGCGATATGTTTGTATACACGCACGAGGGGAATATGGCCCGTGCTATTCAGGGGCACCGGAGATTTGAATGGCACAGGAAGCCCCGTAGTCCCAACAGGTGTGTGTGCGTGTGTGTATAAGTGTGCGGTGGTAGGTGTGGCAGCGTATGTGGTAATGTGTTAGGGAATTGAGAGAATTAGGGAAGAAGGCGAAGCCCTCGGAATTTCTTTTTCTCGGAAGAAGGCCGACTTCCTCTCCTCCTGCTCCTGTTCCATTTCTCCACACGCATTCCTTTCTGTGGTGTGCACACTTCGCAGGGAAGCCATCATTCGCCACATTGACCAATTAAAATCACGGCAAATCAGGTGGAAGGCGTTTAGGAGGCTCATCAGACAAGCACACAAAGAAGGAATGGGAGCTCCTCATCTGCGGGAGGTTGGCGAGAATCCGAAGCTGGAGGAGAATTTCTACGCAAATCCTTTTCCGGGGTGTATTTGCGAGGTGGAAAGGCAAGCGGACGGGGCTGTCCGCATGTGTAGGCGAGTCAGCGGCCAAAAGCGGTGTACGGAGATGCCAAAGAATGGCGAAGAGAGCAGATAGGCATTGCTGTAGTACAGATTTCACATTCCAAGCTCATTCTCACTGCAAAGCTGTTAATTAGAGATAGCCTTCTTGTTCTCGTTTCTGTACGAAATGTAAATGCTATAACGGGGTAGTCACTTGTCCATTGGCCGTCAGGTGCGGCGACTAGGTGCTGGATTCCATCCAGCTGAAAGGCCCTGGTCAGGTACAATCGCGTTTTCCTGGTCAGTCGGTTCGGGAACACCACCCAAGTTCGGCAGGTGTGTTTGATTGGGTGGTTGGCGATATCGTTACTTTCGCGAGTCTTGGTGATTGGTACAACGGAGGAACAGATGACCAGATATTTGTCGATCACTTTGCTGCGACGGTCGCTGGTGTTCGCGAGAGTAACCTCAACATCTCTTCCAAAACACTGCCACTGACACACCACACAGCGCCCCGCCGGCCCTGCCCATTTCCTCCCCAGACAGCCACCGCGTTATGGCAGCCCCCTGCCGGCGTCTCCCCGCATTTTTTCCGCGCCAAACACCGAGCCTCCCCCACACCCATGGCCTCTTCCCCGACCTCGTTTGCTGTTGCATACAAAAAATTCCCGACCTCGATTCCCCCAACACCATTTGTCGCCGACCCGCCATTCATATTTCGCACAACACGATTCCCCCTACCTGCCTTCGCAGGATCCCCCGCCCAATTCCCCCACCGTTCATTCTCAAGAAGGGCCCAGATTTCTCCGGTTGGACTTTCTGCGACTCCTCGAGTCCTCGGTTCCCCCTGTTTCCCCGATTTCTGACTCCCTTGATTCCTCCGATTCCCAGTTTCCTCGGTTTTATCCCACTGACAGTGCCTAATTATTTCATCCATGGCTGACAATTATTGGTGAGCCCTGCTTGTTCTAGGGAGTTGCCTTCTTCCAGCTGCACATTGCTGGAGTTTTCTTGCAGAAGTCACAGTTGTCTGTATAGACTTTGCTCTTCAAGTACACTTCCTGCATGTCTGTTCTAGGAGGAGTCGTTGCGTGCTAGTGTGAGTAGATTAGTTCGGATTCAGCGAGTTGTCGGTTTATGTATCGACTTGTATTCAGTTAACACCTAGGTCACCTTCTGCAGTCATCATGACGAGCAGCGAAGCAGATGCGCGGTCAGGATCTGATACGTCCAGCAATGCCGCGAACCAATCAACTGCGAGCGTTGCAAAAGGATCGTCGTACTTCACGGTCAACGAGAGAACGCCGCCTGCGAGCCCTGCGAGGGACGGGAAGACGAGTACCGCACTTGACGGCGAGGGGGGTAACGGTCACCGTAGTAGCTGGGGCTCCGTCAAGCCGTATGTGCTGTCGGTGTCGCTTTTGGCATCGATATCGTCGGCTCTTCTCGGATATGGTACGCGATGTAGTAAATTATTGCTATTTTTTTCAATTGGTGTCGTGGAATCCATATCGTTGGCTCTTCTTGGATATGGTATGCGATGTAACACGAGAATCCTGTGGAATGTGTCTGGTCGTGCTTCTGCGTCGTGACATCTCGTCCATCTCAATATGACGTATGCAAATGCCTTTCGTACTACCATGTATGTGTGATTCTGACTTCCCGAGTATTCTGCCGTGATCCTTTCGTATCTCCACGATTTTGTCGTGACCTCCCTCTGCTGACGTGGCATGCAGACATTGGCATCACCAGCGGAGCGCTCATTTTTGTCGCAGAAGATTTCGATCTCTCCCACGTGCAACAGGAAATTTTCGTCGGAATTCTCAATATAGTCTCCCTCGTTGGCGCGCTATCAGCCGGTAGACTTGCGGATTTCGCGGGCCGTAGATTCGCAATGGGAGCAGCCGCCTCGATTTTTATCGCCGGAGCACTGTGCATGGCGTTAGCACCGACCTACGCTATCCTCGTTTCAGGACGTGTCATTACAGGCATTGGTGTCGGTTTCGGCCTTTCTCTGCCTCCGCTGTTCATCTCGGAAATTTCTCCTCCCGGGCAGCGTGGCGGGCTGGTTTCATTCGGGGAGCTTTTTATCAACATTGGCATTGTGGTCGGCTTCTTGACCTCCTTTCTTCTTTCCGGGCTGCCCGTGGATTCAGCCTGGAGGTGGATGTTGGGGCTGGGAGCCGTTCCGGGCTTTATCCTCGCAGTAGGAGTGGTTTTCCTGCCCGAATCCCCGCGCTGGCTGATCATGCACGGGCAGGTGAAAAAAGCCAAGGATATCCTGCTTACCATATCCGACAGCAAAGAGGAGGCCCATGAACGGATGTTAGAAATTCTCGAGGCAGCAGGGCTGAAGGAGGAAGTTATCAGCAAAGGCTCTGAAATTCCCGCTGCCCGGGGCAGAAGCAATTCTCGCGAGCGGCTGGGAGGCAGCGGGGGCGAGGGTGCGGGAGATACAGTGTATGTGGACGAAGAAGAACAAGAAATCCACGTGATACGGCCAATGGAGGGAGCGGGTGGGACGGGGGTTTGGAAGGAGCTGCTTTGGCCGACGCCAGCAGTGGGAAGAATGCTGGTGGTGTGCGTGGGCACGAATTTCCTGCAGCAGGCGGTGGGGATTGACGCGGCTGTGTATTACTCGCCCGTGGTGCTGCGGGCTGCTGGGTTGACGTCCACAAGGGCGCTGCTGGGTGCGACGCTGCTGATGGGGGTGATCAAGGTGTCGTTTGTTGGCATTGCCACGTGCATGCTGGACCACTTTGGACGGCGGCCGCTGCTGCTCGCGTCCACTGCAGGTGAGCGTGATTGATTGTTGCGAGTGTGGTCCAGTGCCTCTGCTGTGTTTGGTTGAACGGTTGTGCTGATGGGGGTGATCAGGGTGTCGTTTGTTGGCATTGCCACGTGGATGCTAACCCACTTTGGACGGCGGCCGCTGCTGCTACCTTCCACTGCAGGTGAGCTGCTTTGCTGCTGCAAGGTTGAATCCCAGAGAATCAGTGCCTCGGCTTGTGTATAGCCCCCACTGCAAGCCCTAACCCTTTCCAGCGTCTCAACCACTTTCAAACCACCTCAAACCGCACCCCAACTTCCCAACACCCCCTTCATTCACACCCTCCCCTTTCCCTTCCAGGCGTGATGGCAGCTCTCCTAACTCAAGCTCTCGCCTTCCTGGAGCTCCCAACCGCTCACCGCCACCATCACCACCTCAAACCACTCCCCAATACCCCCTACATTCGCACCCTCTCCCTCCCTCCAGGCATGACGGTTGCTCTTTTCACTCAAGCCCTGGCCTTCCTCAAACTCCCAACCACTGTTGACGCAGACATCTCAACCACCGTCGCTGCCACCACTGGAGTCCCAGCAGCCGCTATCGTCGCTTTCACAGGGCTCGTTTGAGTGCAAACGCTGGCCTTTCACACCCTTCCAGAGAACTCCTAAAAGCCTCAATTTTATCCCAAAATCCCCGATACCCCTATGTTTGTCCGTTCCCCCTCCCTCCAGGCATGACGGTTGCTCTTCTCACTCAAGCCCTGGCCTTCCTCAAACTCCCAACCGCTGTTGACGTAGACGTCTCAACCACCGTCGCTGCCACCACTGGAGTCCCAGCGGCCGCCATCGCTGCTTTCACCGGCCTTTGCGTTTACGTCGCCTTTTTCTCGATCGGAATTGGCCCCATTAACTGGTTATACACCTCAGAGATCTTCCCCCTGAGGCTGCGGGCACAGGCTACTGGTATCGGCACGGCTGTGAACAGGATTGCGTCTGGCGTGGTTGCGATGACTTTTCTGAGTCTGGCGGATGCTACTGGAAGTCCTGCGGGGCCGTTTTTCATGTTTGCTGGAATGGGAGTGGTCGCTTTTGTGTTTTTCTTTTTTCTTGCGCCGGAGACGAGAGGGAAGAGCTTGGAGCAGATAGTGAGGATGTTTGAAAAGGGGACGTACGCGTGGGTGAAGGAGGCCCCGGAGGAGATTCCTAGCGTGGGGTTGGCGGTGTATGATGGGAATAAGATGCAGCAAGGGTGGGGGGCGACGGATTCGAGCCCCAGCAGAACACCACGGGATGTGTGGTAACAAGACTACATGGCAATCTACAGTCGGTCGGGTTATGCTTTATTCCGCTTGTTCTGTGGTTTACAATGGGAACAAGGTACAGCAATGGTGGAAAACAGCAGATTCTAGCTCTAGCAGAACAGTGCAGGCAGGAGGATGTGTGGTGGTGACAGGTCATGACTAACGTGGTGCTTTTTGGTTTATAGGGTTTGCTTTTCTCCAAGCGACAAGCCTTCGCGATATACGGCATGATAAGAAGGTCGGGCTCTCCAAGCAGGATACTCAGGGAGGTGCGGCAAGTTACCCACCATTAACTGTTCACTGGCTTCAATACGGTACCAATTTACCAATAAGTGCCGTCAGAGCAAACAGGTGCTGGGTTGCTGAGTATAAACAAACTTGGTATGGTAAACATAATGTGCAAACATTTAATTTCGCGTTTATCACGTTGCTATGAGATTTATCCGTGTATTAATCTGTAACCCAAGGGTTTCACTTCGCTGATTTATTTTCGTGCTGATCGCTTCGCCCCCCCATCACAACCAGGTCGCTGCAATTTAACGTAAAGAGGAGACTGACTGGCTTCATTGCTATCGTGGTTCAGGATAGAAATCAGAGAGCCACAGCAGCAATAGCGGAGCTCGGGTGTAAAAGGGACCATTTCGAAAGGGAGAGAATTCTATCGAGGCTAGACCGTCACATTCTTTCCTGCTCCTGAATCGATTAAGAGATTTATCTGGATAATTTACTGGTTGGGGAGAGTGATTGAGAGACTATTTCGCGCAGATTCCTGTAGGAGCTTTTTTGTGAGTTTATTCTTCAGGAGCATTGGAGAGACAGACGAGCGGTCGCGGCGATGAGGAAAAAGGTGGACGCGAGGATTCGAACCCTCGTCGAGAATGGCGTCAAGTCGCGGCAGCGGTCCATGTTCGTGATCGTGGGGGACAAGGGCCGAGACCAGGTGAGAGGATAGAAAGAAAACCTAGTCGTGAGCCTATCATTGTCAACATGAGGGTTCGGGGTCCATGATTGTGATAAGGAGCGAGCTTCATAATCGCGGGGGATAAGGGACAAGTGCAGATTGGGAGTTTTGTTGTTAAAATGGGAACATTCGTCGTTGGACTCGTAACTACGAGACAGGTTCTTTTCTGACTCGTAACTGATTAGAACCCGACCCGACACACCAGCTAATTAGAACCATCCTAATTTACCTTAGAACCCTGAACCCAGCTGAGTCGTGTGTTCATCTGGTATGGATATGACCTGGATGTGACAGTAACGCGGCAATGTTGTAACCCGTACGACCATACTGTAACCAATGTGACTGTATCCTGATATCACTGTACCCCGATGTGACTGTAACAGGTGGTGAATCTGCACTACATGCTCTCCAAGGCCGTGGTCAAGGCGAGGCCCAACGTGCTCTGGTGCTACAAGAAGGACCTCTTTCTCAGCAGGTACCGTGAGGGGGTAGGGGGTTTAGGTGTGGGGGGTTCTGGAGGGTTGAGGCGCTGAAACGACCTAGCGTGCTGTGGTGCTACAAAAAAGACCTCTTTCTCAGCAGGTACTGCGAGAGGTTAAGGGCTAAGGGGTTATGAAGGGTTGAGGGTTTTTGCTACAAGAAGGGCCTCTCTATCAGCAGGTACTATCAGTGCTGAAAGCTTCGTGTAGTTTGTGCTGTCAGTTGTTCAGGGTATATCTCAGGTTCAGGGGTATACACAACCCATGGCATCCCCCCCTTCCCTCTCCCTCCCTGCCTCTCTCCTAGCAACCGCAAGAAGCGCATCAGGCAGATGAAGAAGATGATGCAGAGGGGTCTGCTCGACCCCGATAAAGAGGACCCCTCTATTCCCCCATTCGCTTGTGCCCCTCCCCCCACCTCCTTTTGTAATCCCTAGCAACCGGAAAAAACGGATGAGGCAGATGAAGAAGATGATGCAGAGGGGTCTGCTGGACCCTGAGAAGGAGGACCCGTTCGCTCTCTTCATGGCCTCCACGGCCATCCGCTACTGCTACTACTCCGAGACACACAAGATCCTCGGAAATACATTCGGCATGTGCGTGCTGCAGGTACGTGGGTTGTGTGATTGTGTGCTTGCCGTGTCTGTTTGCCTCCCCCTCTTTCCCCCACCAAAGCCTGAGAAGGAGGACCCATTCGCCCTCTTCATGGTCTCTACGGCCATCCGCCACTGCTACTACTCCGAGACGCACAAGATTGTTGGGAGCACGTCTGGGATGTGCGCGCAGCAGGTACGTGCGCTGTGTGTGTGTGTGTTGTGTGTGTGTGTGTGTGTGTGTGTGTGTTGTGTGTGTGTGTGTGTGTGTGTGTGTGTTGTGTGTGTGTGTGTGTGTGTGTGTGTGTGTTGTGTGTGTGTGTGTGTGTGTGTGTGTTGTGTGTGTGTGTGTGTGTGTGTGTGTGTGTGTTGTGTGTGTGTGTGTGTGTGTGTGTGTGTGTTGTGTGTGTGTGTGTGTGTGTGTTGTGTGTGTGTGTGTGTGTGTGTGTTGTGTGTGTGTGTGTGTGTGTGTGTTGTGTGTGTGTTGTGTGTGTGTGTGTGTGTGTGTGTGTGTGTGTGAGTGCGCGTGTGCACGCACCTCCTTTTCCCCCATCAGCAGCCATCCGCTACTGCTACTACTCCGAGACTCATATGATTCTTGGGAACACATTCGGCATGTGTGTGATGCAGGTATGTGTGTCGCCCTCCCCCCACCACCTCCCTTCCCCTCTCCTCCCCCCCGCCCTTGTGTGTGCATGCAGAATGCTGTTTGCGTGTGTCCCTTCCCCTGCCTGCTTTGCTCTCCTCCTCCGATCTCTATCATTTCCCTGCCTGTTTTCCTCTCCTCCTCCGCTTTCCCCTGCCTCTTTTCCTCTCCTCCTCTGCCTCCTCTCCTTTCCGCTGCCCTTACCTCACACCAATCAGGACTTTGAGGCGCTAACACCCAACCTGCTGGCGCGCACGATAGAGACGGTGGAGGGCGGGGGAATCATCGTGCTGCTGCTCTCCTCCCTCACCTCGCTCTCGCGCCTCTTCACCCTCGCCATGGTACGTGCTGCTTCAGCTGCCCTGCTTCCTCACTGCCCTAGTCGTCTCTCATTCTCTCAGCTGCTCTGCTGATCTCCTCGCTCACCTCCCTCTCCCGTCCCTTCACCCTCGCCATGCTCTGCTGTGCTGTACGCTCTGCTGTGCTGTACACTCTGCTGTGCTGTACGCCCTGTTCTCTTCATTCACTTACCCACTTGCTCACTTCTCTCTTCATTCAACCCCATATCTTTCGCCCCCCTCTCCCCCCCATCAGGACGTGCATGTGCGTCATCGCACAGAGCCGCGTGGGGACGTGGTGGGCCGCTTCAACGAGGGGCGGTCAGGTTGGCCTGTGCTGCTCACGGGTTCTCTGTACTGTATTCACTCTCGTCTGCCCTCTCCCCTCCCATCAGGACGTGCATGCGCGTTACCGAACCGAGTCCCACGGGGACGTGGTGGGGCGATTCAACGAGCGCTTCATCCTCTCCCTCGCGTCCTGCCCCACATGGTTTCCAGTCACCTCTGGCTCTCCTACTCCTTGATCCCTTCGTGTCTCTCCATCTGTACATGCCGTTTTTCCCCACAGGACGTGCACGCACGCTACAGAACCGAGTCACACGGGGACGTGGTGGGGCGATTCAATGAGCGCTTCATCCTCTCCCTCGCCTCCTGCCCCACGTGCTGTGTGATGGACGATGAGCTCAACATCCTGCCTCTGTCTTCTCACATGAGGCACCTGCAGCCTTCTCCCCTTACAGAGGTCAGTCAATGCCCTCCCACAGAGGTAAAGGTCAGTGCCCTCAGCTGCCCCACGTGCTGTGTGATGGACAATGAGCTCAACATCCTGCCTCTGTCCTCCCACATGCGCCACCTGCAGCCCTCGCCCCTCACAGAGGTGAGTGTCCCTCCACCCCTTCCATCCACTCACAGAGGTAGGGGTTAGCTAGGGTGAGTCACCGTCCCCACACTGCCTCCTGCCCCACGTGCTGTGTGATGGACGATGATTTTAACATCCTGCCGCTCTCCTCCCACATGAGGCGTTTGAGGGAGCTGAAAGAATCTCTAGCCGACCGGTGGGAGCACTGGTGGCAACGTGTGGCACACTGGACCAGGCCAAGGCCATGGTGACGTGTCCTGTGGCTGTCTGCTCATGGTGCAGACCAGACCCATGGCTGTCTGCTCTGCACCCCCACCCCTATTTCCCCCGTCCGTCCCCAGGGTGAGGCAGTGGAATCGGAATCCGACCGAGAGTTACGCGAACTGAAGGAGTCGCTAGCCGACACACAGCCGGTGGGGGCGCTGGTGGCCACGTGTCGCACGCTGGACCAGGCCAAAGCGGTGGTGACAAGACAGTAGCCCATGCCATGCCCTTACCCCTTCTCCCGTACCCCCTTCTCCTGTACCCCCTTCTCCCGTACCCCCTTCTTCCGTACCCCCTCACCCCCATTTCTCTGTCCTTCCCCAGGGTGAATCAGTTGAGTCAGAGTCAGACCGGGAGCTACGCGAACTGAAAGAATCCCTGGCGGACACACAGCCCGTGGGGGCGCTGGTGGCCACGTGTCGCACGCTGGACCAGGCCAAGGCCGTGGTGACGTTTCTTGATGCAGTATCTGAGAAAACCCTGAGATCGACGGTTGCGATTACTGCTGCCAGAGGAAGGGGGAAATCCGCGGCTCTTGGTGTTGCTGTGGCTGGGGCCGTGGCTCTTGGGTGAGTGGGTTTGGAAGGGGTTTGGATGGGTGGGGTGCGGTGGAGGAGGGATTGGTGGGCTGGAGGACCAGGGGGGTGACCTTTCTCGATGCCGTCTCTGCTGCCCACGGTTGCCCAAGAAGACTTTAAGATCGACGGTTGCGATCACTGCTGCCAGAGGAAGGGGGAGACCTGCGGCTTTGGGCGTGGCTGTGGCTGGGGCTGTCGAGCTGGGGTGAGTGAGATGGGAGGGGTTGGGATGGGTGGAATGGGGTGGAGTACCAGGCTAAGGGGCTGAGATTTACAGTTTGAGCTTGCACGCCAGCGTTGCTCGCTCCCCTTTCCCTCTTGAGAATTCTCAAAAAATGATTTCTTTATCCAACCAAACGCCCTCCTCCGTCCCTCTCTCTTCCCTCCCCTCCCACGCTGCAGCTACTCCAACATATTCGTCACAGCACCAAGCCCGGAGAATCTGAAGACGCTGTTTGAGTTTGTGTTCAAGGGCTTTGATGCCATCGGGTACAAGGTAAGTCACACAAGGTGGTTACAATGTTTGTAGTCACGATGTTTTCTAGTCGATCAATAAAAACGTGTTGTTTGAGTCAACAGCGGCATTGATGCAGTTGGTTCCCACCCCCCCCCCCCCCCCAACCACCCCTATTTCCCCTCTATTTTAAAACAGGAGCACATAGACTACGAGCTCGTGGAGAGCACCAACCCGGCCTTCAACTGCCTCCCTTGCTCCTCTCCCCCTTCCCTTCCCCACATCCCTTACCTGTTGCCCGTCCCTTCCCCCTTCCAACACGCCAGGAGCACATCGACTACGAGCTCGTGGAGAGCACCAGCCCGGCCTTCAACCGCGCCATCGTGCGCGTGAACGTGTTCCACCAGCACCGCCAGACCATCCAGGTGGGTCAGGGGGAAGAGGTCGTTCAAGTGAGGTTGTGGTCAGTGAAGGAGTTCAAAGGGGTTCAAGGGGGTTGAGTCAATCCCAGCACGCCTAGAGAGCACCAACCTGACCTTCAACCACGCCATTGTGCGAGTGATTGTGTTCCACCAGCACAGGCAGACCATCCAGGTGTGTGTGTGTGTGTGTTGAGAGGGCCAAGAGTGGTGCGAGGAGCATATGGGGGGGACAGCTGCATTGATCAATGCAGTGTATTTGAGACGTCTCAAAAGGCAGCTGCATTGATCAATGCAGTATTTTTGAGACGTCTCAAAAGGCAGCTGCATTGATCAATGCAGTATTTTTGAGACGTCTCAAAAGGCAGCTGCATTGATCAATGCAGTATTTTTGAGACGTCTCAAAAGGCAGCTGCATTGATCTATGCAGCTGGCACGGTGGCACCTGCTGCCCTGTTTTTCCCCCTCCCTCATGACGTTTGAGTCAACTCAAATGTCTCCTCTTCTTTGCGCCCCTTCATTTGCACGACTCCTGTCCTCCACTGCCCATTGCCTGTTTGCCTGCCTTGTCCACTCACCTTGTACACTCCCCCTTCTCTCCAACCCCCCCATCAAATGCAGTGCTTGATGCCCCTAACCTCCCTCCCCACCCTCTCTCCTCTCCTCCCCCCCATTACAGTATGTGATGCCCCAGCACGCGGAGCGAGTGCAGCAGGCAGAGCTGCTGGTGATCGACGAGGCAGCAGCCATCCCCCTGCCCATGGTCAAGGCGCTGCTGGGACCGTACCTGGTGTTTATGGGCTCCACTGTTAACGGGTATGTGCCATGTATTGGTAATGGGTTAGCCTGTAAGGGGTATACGAGGCAGCAGCCATCCCGCTGCCCATGGTCAAGACGCTGCTGGGACCATACCTGGTCTTCATGGGCTCCACTGTTAACGGGTATGTGCTCTTAACAGTGGGTTACTCTATTAGGGAATGGCGAGGGTTAGCTTGTAAGGGGTACAGGAAGCAGGCAGCGGCCATCCCCCAGCCCATGGTCAAGGCGCTCCTGGGGCCCGTACCTGGTTTTCATGGGCTCCTCTGCTAACGGGTATGTGCTGGTAGTGGGTGAGAACTTATAACGAGTACATGCTGATAATGGGTTAGCTTGTAAAGGGTATGAGGAACAAGCAGCAGCCATCCCACTGCCCATGCTGAAGGCGCTCCTGAGACTCGTACCTGGTGTTTATGGCCTCCACTGTTAGTGGGTATGTGCTTGTAGTGGGTCGCTCTTTAACGAGTACGTGCTGCTGATGGGTTAGCTAGCTTGGAAAGGATAAATGTGTGGTATGGGTTCGATTCTTGAGTCGACTAAAAAATAAACTCATCACAGGTGGTATGGGTTCGCCTGTCTACACCCCACCTTCCTCATCCCATACTTTTCATGAACCTCATATGTTGCCACGTGTTTGAAGAAGTGTTTTGAGACGTCTCGAAACACTTCTTCAAACATGAACCTCATATGTTGCCTTTCCCAACCACGTTCCCCACCCCTCCTTGCCCCTCCCTCCGAACAGCTATGAAGGCACGGGGCGGTCCCTCTCCCTGAAGCTCATTCAGCAGCTCAGGGAGCAGTCCAAAGGAGCCACTGCTGCCGGTGCTGCAACCGCTGATGCCAGTGGTGGTGGCGGTGGTAGTGGTGGAGTGTCGGTGCGGGTGTTGAGGGAGGTGGAGCTGCAGGAGCCGATTCGGTATGCGGAGGGGGATCCCGTGGAGAAATGGCTCAACCACCTGCTGTGCCTCGACGCGACTTCACATGTGCCCAAGCTGCAAGCCCGGTAAGACGCAGGTGGGTAAGACGCAGGTGGGGGAAGCACAGGTGGGGGAAGCACAGGTGGGGGAAGCACAGGTGGGGGAAGCACAGGTGGGGGAAGCACAGGTGGGGGAAGCACAGGTGGTGACTAAGACGCTATTCGGTATGCGGAGGGGGATTCCATGGAGAAATGGCTCAATCAACCACCTGCTGTGCCGCGACGCCACCTCGCACGTACCCAAGCTGCAGGCTCGGTAAGTGCCATGTTCGGAAAGTCTCTGGTTTGAGAAACACAGGCTTGGATATCCACGGGCTTGGAAAAAAAACTTAGGTTCGGTGAATTTCAGGCCTGGTTAGATACAGGTAGACATGAGCAACGCACGAATCCGAACACGTTTGAGTGAACCTTTCCGAACACCTTGAAATCTCGAACCGAACGTGTTCGGTTCGTTCGAACACGTTTCCAGGAAAGTAGTGTTCGAGTGTTCGCAGTCAGAGGCGAACACTTAGATGTTCGAGGGAACATCTAAGTGTTCGTGGCGAACTCGAACGCGTTCGAGTTCGCCCATAAACTTCCCACTATGATGACATATTCTGCCCTGGTTTGGTGCCATTTTTCCTCCCAGGTACAACAAAGGAGGGTTCATTCAACAGGACATGTCACACACATGCTGGGAATTACGCCACATGCACACCAGACCACAACCTTTCATGTATCTCTCTAGCTACTATATTGATTTCATGGGCTCTCCCCAGGAGGACAGAACGACACTTTCCCTGCTAGGTTTAGGAAAAGGAAGGCAGTCACCACGACATATAACACACACACATTCTGGAAACCATGCACCCTGCACACAAACAAGCAGCCCAAGTATCAAGTTGGTCTAGCTAGCTACTAAAGGTTGATGGTCCCAACTCTGCAAGCACTGCATGCCGGTCACCACCACGCAGACAAGGCCATAGAGATAGGCCTGCGTCAAACCCCACCCGCCCATAGCCCCCTCTCCTGCCCCGCCCCATATGGTTTAGGGTCTCCCCTCAAGCCACCCCTAAAACTCGAAATGTGCTCAATCTCAGATCTACGCAACCCTAAATTTGAAACCAGCGCGGCCAATGTCGCGCTGGTTTTAATCGCGAACACTTTGATGTTCGCAAAAGTGAAATTCGAACTCAAACCTGTTCGAGTTCGAGGCGGGGCGGTAAAAATAGGCCTGCGAACTCGAACATGTTCGACTCGAACTCGAACATGTTCGTTCGAACATTTTTGGCCAAAAAAAAAGGGCTGTTCGGTTCGACTCGAACACGTTCGAGTCGAACCGAACAGGCGTTCGAAAATTTGCTCATGTCTAGATACAGGCAGGCGTCTCTGTTCGTGATAAGTCGCAGGGGAACGAGATGGCATTTGAGTCAACTAAAAAATCGATTTCAGGCCTGGTTAGATACAGGCCGGCAGACGTCTCTGTTCCCTTCCTTTCCCCACCGTTGCCCTTCCCACATGCGCCCTGAATGTTCTTCCCCTTCCTTCCCAGTATGCCTCACCCCGATGAGTGTATTGAAATCACTTTTGAGAATTCTCAAAAGTGATTTCAATATAACATGCGCCCTGTTCTTCCCATTATGCCTCTCCCCGATCCGATGAGTGTGAATATTCTGACGTCAACCGAGACGCGCTCTGCTCCTCTCCTTCCCCTCCTTTCTACCCTCACCCCCCCTCCCCCCACCTGCCAGCATGCCTCACCCAGACGAGTGTGAGCTGTTCTACGTCAATCGAGACACGCTCTTCTCCTTCCACTCCGCCTCAGAGCTCTTCCTCCAGGTGCCGTGGTTTTTCCTCAGCACTTGATTCCTTTCCGCCAGTCAGGCTTCTTTCTGTCTTCCCCCCCCCCCCCCCCCCCCCCCCCCCCCCCCCTCCCCCCTCCCCCCTCCCCCCTCCTTTCAAGATAACAAAAAACACCGAATCTTTTGGGTCTGTATGTCCCATGATGAGCACATCATCTATATTGAAATCACTTTCGAGAATTCTCAAAAGGTTCTTACGAGATAAATGCAGTGTTTAGAGGCGTCTCAAAACACTACCTTTATTACAGCAGCCACCTGATTGGCTCATAGAAACTAACCTTCCCTTCCACTTCCACCGCATGTCTCGCCCCCCGTCCCCTCCTCGGCTCTTTCTCGGTGCTGTGTGTGTGTGACAGAGAATGATGGCACTATACGTGTCCTCTCACTATAAGAACACGCCCAACGACCTCCAGCTCATGTCCGATGCTCCAGCCCACCACCTTTTCGTCCTTCTGGGTATGCCTCTCTCTCGCAACACTCTGGCACTTGTCCCTTTCTCGCATCTCTCTCGCACCACTCTGGCGATTGCACACCTTTCGGCCTCCCTTCTCCCTCCCACCACTCTGACCTTCTCCCTCCCACCACTATGCCCTCCTCTCTTCGCACGGCTCGTTCTCACATGCTTGCTTTGTCGGTCCCGCTCGCTCCCAGGCCTGACGTTCTCATATCGCTTCAGGGAAGTCCCAAAACAGGGAAGTCCCAAAACTGGGAAGTCCCAAAACAGGGAAGTCCCAAAACTGGGAAGTCCCAAAACAGGGAAGTCCCAGAACTGGCCTGACAGTTATTCACAAGCCCCCTTCTGTCCGTCCTGGTCTGTCTGACATAATCTCTGCGTCCCTGTGCCTCCACTTTGTATCTTTGCATCTACTGTGCCTCTGCAGGCCCAGTGGACGAGTCCCAAACGTCTCTGCCTGACGTGCTGTGTGTGCTGCAGGTAAGCGTTGCAGATATGACCTTTCCAGCCACATCTTAAGTCGTGCTGTGTGTGTGCCGCAGGTAAGTGCCGCAGGTATGACTTGTAGCAACCATCTGATCTCTCCATTCTCTTCTCTCCTCCCGTCTCTCCTCTCCTCTCTTCTCTCTTCTCTCTTCGCTTTTGCCTCCCCTCTCCGATCTCTCCCCTCTCTCCTGTCTCTCCTGTCTCTCCTGTCTCTTCTGTCTCTCCTCTCTCTCCCCTCTCTCCCCTCTTGTCTCTCCCAACCCTACCTTTGCACCAGGTGTGTTTGGAAGGAGAGATTTCAAAAGCATCGGCACTCAAGGGCCTCTCACAGGGACATCAACCTACAGGCGACCTGCTGCCCTGGACGCTCTCACAGCAGTTTCAAGACTCTGAGTTTCCCTCCCTCTCGGGCGCTCGGGTAGTCCGGATCGCCGTTCATCCCGATCTGATGCACGCGGGATACGGATCCAGAGCCGTTGATCTGCTCTCCAGGTGATGCATTCCGAGCCGTTCATTTGCTGTCCAGTCCAGGTGATGCATCAGCACTTGTTTTGCTGTCACAGCAGTTTCAAGACTAGGGTCTGCTGCCCTGGACACTCTCACAGCAGTTTCAAGACTAGGGTCTGCTGCCCTGGACACTCTCACAGCAGTTTCAAGACTAGGGTCTGCTGCCCTGGGCACTCTCACAGCAGTTTCAAGACTAGGGTCTGCTGCCCTGGACACTCTCACAGCAGTTTCAAGACTAGGGTCTGCTGCCCTGGACACTCTCACAGCAGTTTCAAGACTAGGGTCTGCTGCCCTGGACACTCTCACAGCAGTTTCAAGACTAGGGTCTGCTGCCCTGGACACTCTCACAGCAGTTTCAAGACTAGGGTCTGCTGCCCTGGACACTCTCACAGCAGTTTCAAGACTAGGGTCTGCTGCCCTGGACACTCTCACAGCAGTTTCAAGACTAGGGTCTGCTGCCCTGGACACTCTCACAGCAGTTTCAAGACTAGGGTCTGCTGCCCTGGACACTCTCACAGCAGTTTCAAGACTAGGGTCTGCTGCCCTGGACACTCTCACAGCAGTTTCAAGACTAGGGTCTGCTGCCCTGGGCACTCTCACAGCAGTTTCAAGACTAGGGTCTGCTGCCCTGGACACTCTCACAGCAGTTTCAAGTCTAAGGTCTGCTGCCCTGGACACTCTCACAGCAGTTTCAAGTCTAAGGTCTGCTGCCCTGGACACTCTCACAGCAGTTTCAAGACTAGGGTCTGCTGCCCTGGACACTCTCACAGCAGTTTCAAGACTAGGGTCTGCTGCCCTGGACACTCTCACAGCAGTTTCAAGACTAGGGTCTGCTGCCCTGGACACTCTCACAGCAGTTTCAAGACTAGGGTCTGCTGCCCTGGACACTCTCACAGCAGTTTCAAGACTAGGGTCTGCTGCCCTGGACACTCTCACAGCAGTTTCAAGACTAGGGTCTGCTGCCCTGGACACTCTCACAGCAGTTTCAAGACTAGGGTCTGCTGCCCTGGACACTCTCACAGCAGTTTCAAGACTAGGGTCTGCTGCCCTGGACACTCTCACAGCAGTTTCAAGACTAGGGTCTGCTGCCCTGGACACTCTCACAGCAGTTTCAAGACTAGGGTCTGCTGCCCTGGACACTCTCACAGCAGTTTCAAGACTAGGGTCTGCTGCCCTGGACACTCTCACAGCAGTTTCAAGACTAGGGTCTGCTGCCCTGGACACTCTCACAGCAGTTTCAAGACTAGGGTCTGCTGCCCTGGACACTCTCACAGCAGTTTCAAGACTAGGGTCTGCTGCCCTGGACACTCTCACAGCAGTTTCAAGACTAGGGTCTGCTGCCCTGGACACTCTCACAGCAGTTTCAAGACTAGGGTCTGCTGCCCTGGACACTCTCACAGCAGTTTCAAGACTAGGGTCTGCTGCCCTGGACACTCTCACAGCAGTTTCAAGACTAGGGTCTGCTGCCCTGGACACTCTCACAGCAGTTTCAAGACTAGGGTCTGCTGCCCTGGACACTCTCACAGCAGTTTCAAGACTAGGGTCTGCTGCCCTGGACACTCTCACAGCAGTTTCAAGACTAGGGTCTGCTGCCCTGGACACTCTCACAGCAGTTTCAAGACTAGGGTCTGCTGCCCTGGACACTCTCACAGCAGTTTCAAGACTAGGGTCTGCTGCCCTGGACACTCTCACAGCAGTTTCAAGACTAGGGTCTGCTGCCCTGGACACTCTCACAGCAGTTTCAAGACTAGGGTCTGCTGCCCTGGACACTCTCACAGCAGTTTCAAGACTAGGGTCTGCTGCCCTGGACACTCTCACAGCAGTTTCAAGACTAGGGTCTGCTGCCCTGGACACTCTCACAGCAGTTTCAAGACTAGGGTCTGCTGCCCTGGACACTCTCACAGCAGTTTCAAGACTAGGGTCTGCTGCCCTGGACACTCTCACAGCAGTTTCAAGACTAGGGTCTGCTGCCCTGGACACTCTCACAGCAGTTTCAAGACTAGGGTCTGCTGCCCTGGACACTCTCACAGCAGTTTCAAGACTAGGGTCTGCTGCCCTGGACACTCTCACAGCAGTTTCAAGACTAGGGTCTGCTGCCCTGGACACTCTCACAGCAGTTTCAAGACTAGGGTCTGCTGCCCTGGACACTCTCACAGCAGTTTCAAGACTAGGGTCTGCTGCCCTGGACACTCTCACAGCAGTTTCAAGACTAGGGTCTGCTGCCCTGGACACTCTCACAGCAGTTTCAAGACTAGGGTCTGCTGCCCTGGACACTCTCACAGCAGTTTCAAGACTAGGGTCTGCTGCCCTGGACACTCTCACAGCAGTTTCAAGACTAGGGTCTGCTGCCCTGGACACTCTCACAGCAGTTTCAAGACTAGGGTCTGCTGCCCTGGACACTCTCACAGCAGTTTCAAGACTAGGGTCTGCTGCCCTGGACACTCTCACAGCAGTTTCAAGACTAGGGTCTGCTGCCCTGGACACTCTCACAGCAGTTTCAAGACTAGGGTCTGCTGCCCTGGACACTCTCACAGCAGTTTCAAGACTAGGGTCTGCTGCCCTGGACACTCTCACAGCAGTTTCAAGACTAGGGTCTGCTGCCCTGGACACTCTCACAGCAGTTTCAAGACTAGGGTCTGCTGCCCTGGACACTCTCACAGCAGTTTCAAGACTAGGGTCTGCTGCCCTGGACACTCTCACAGCAGTTTCAAGACTAGGGTCTGCTGCCCTGGACACTCTCACAGCAGTTTCAAGACTAGGGTCTGCTGCCCTGGACACTCTCACAGCAGTTTCAAGACTAGGGTCTGCTGCCCTGGACACTCTCACAGCAGTTTCAAGACTAGGGTCTGCTGCCCTGGACACTCTCACAGCAGTTTCAAGACTAGGGTCTGCTGCCCTGGACACTCTCACAGCAGTTTCAAGACTAGGGTCTGCTGCCCTGGACACTCTCACAGCAGTTTCAAGACTAGGGTCTGCTGCCCTGGACACTCTCACAGCAGTTTCAAGACTAGGGTCTGCTGCCCTGGACACTCTCACAGCAGTTTCAAGACTAGGGTCTGCTGCCCTGGACACTCTCACAGCAGTTTCAAGACTAGGGTCTGCTGCCCTGGACACTCTCACAGCAGTTTCAAGACTAGGGTCTGCTGCCCTGGACACTCTCACAGCAGTTTCAAGACTAGGGTCTGCTGCCCTGGACACTCTCACAGCAGTTTCAAGACTAGGGTCTGCTGCCCTGGACACTCTCACAGCAGTTTCAAGACTAGGGTCTGCTGCCCTGGACACTCTCACAGCAGTTTCAAGACTAGGGTCTGCTGCCCTGGACACTCTCACAGCAGTTTCAAGACTAGGGTCTGCTGCCCTGGACACTCTCACAGCAGTTTCAAGACTAGGGTCTGCTGCCCTGGACACTCTCACAGCAGTTTCAAGACTAGGGTCTGCTGCCCTGGACACTCTCACAGCAGTTTCAAGACTAGGGTCTGCTGCCCTGGACACTCTCACAGCAGTTTCAAGACTAGGGTCTGCTGCCCTGGACACTCTCACAGCAGTTTCAAGACTAGGGTCTGCTGCCCTGGACACTCTCACAGCAGTTTCAAGACTAGGGTCTGCTGCCCTGGACACTCTCACAGCAGTTTCAAGACTAGGGTCTGCTGCCCTGGACACTCTCACAGCAGTTTCAAGACTAGGGTCTGCTGCCCTGGACACTCTCACAGCAGTTTCAAGACTAGGGTCTGCTGCCCTGGACACTCTCACAGCAGTTTCAAGACTAGGGTCTGCTGCCCTGGACACTCTCACAGCAGTTTCAAGACTAGGGTCTGCTGCCCTGGACACTCTCACAGCAGTTTCAAGACTAGGGTCTGCTGCCCTGGACACTCTCACAGCAGTTTCAAGACTAGGGTCTGCTGCCCTGGACACTCTCACAGCAGTTTCAAGACTAGGGTCTGCTGCCCTGGACACTCTCACAGCAGTTTCAAGACTAGGGTCTGCTGCCCTGGACACTCTCACAGCAGTTTCAAGACTAGGGTCTGCTGCCCTGGACACTCTCACAGCAGTTTCAAGACTAGGGTCTGCTGCCCTGGACACTCTCACAGCAGTTTCAAGACTAGGGTCTGCTGCCCTGGACACTCTCACAGCAGTTTCAAGACTAGGGTCTGCTGCCCTGGACACTCTCACAGCAGTTTCAAGACTAGGGTCTGCTGCCCTGGACACTCTCACAGCAGTTTCAAGACTAGGGTCTGCTGCCCTGGACACTCTCACAGCAGTTTCAAGACTAGGGTCTGCTGCCCTGGACACTCTCACAGCAGTTTCAAGACTAGGGTCTGCTGCCCTGGACACTCTCACAGCAGTTTCAAGACTAGGGTCTGCTGCCCTGGACACTCTCACAGCAGTTTCAAGACTAGGGTCTGCTGCCCTGGACACTCTCACAGCAGTTTCAAGACTAGGGTCTGCTGCCCTGGACACTCTCACAGCAGTTTCAAGACTAGGGTCTGCTGCCCTGGACACTCTCACAGCAGTTTCAAGACTAGGGTCTGCTGCCCTGGACACTCTCACAGCAGTTTCAAGACTAGGGTCTGCTGCCCTGGACACTCTCACAGCAGTTTCAAGACTAGGGTCTGCTGCCCTGGACACTCTCACAGCAGTTTCAAGACTAGGGTCTGCTGCCCTGGACACTCTCACAGCAGTTTCAAGACTAGGGTCTGCTGCCCTGGACACTCTCACAGCAGTTTCAAGACTAGGGTCTGCTGCCCTGGACACTCTCACAGCAGTTTCAAGACTAGGGTCTGCTGCCCTGGACACTCTCACAGCAGTTTCAAGACTAGGGTCTGCTGCCCTGGACACTCTCACAGCAGTTTCAAGACTAGGGTCTGCTGCCCTGGACACTCTCACAGCAGTTTCAAGACTAGGGTCTGCTGCCCTGGACACTCTCACAGCAGTTTCAAGACTAGGGTCTGCTGCCCTGGACACTCTCACAGCAGTTTCAAGACTAG